CTTGGGTGAGGTATGAGTCATATGGCACCAAGGGGAGAGGAAATATGCTCTTGACAAGGATATCACACAGATATCTGTTTGACTTTGACCTCTGAACTAAAAACTTAGTTCAAGGTCAGCCTTAACCCACAATGACTGCACGAGCCAGGTAGGAGCCAAGGGGAGAGAAAAGATGCTCCAAACAATTTTTATAAGGAGAGCTGCTATAACCTTGACCTTTGATTAAGAACATTAGTCAAGGTCACTGCACAACCTTAACTCATGGTCGTTATGTGGCTATAATGTGACCAGATAGGGCCAAAGGGAGAGGAAATATTTTTTATTTTTTTTTCAAGATGTTTTTTTTTATTCTGATGTTCACTCTAAAAATTGGTTCAAGACCATTGCATTTAACTCTATTCATGGACACTATAGTATTGTGATTTCAAGCAAGATTAGACCAAGGCGAGAAAAAATATGTTTGATTGACCTTTGATTAAGAAAATTTGTTCAAGGTCAAGATATCTGTGTAAAATCCTTGCACATTTTCTTTCCTCTTGGCTCCATCTGGCTAACACCTTACCCAGAGAGTGCCCATGGGTAGATGTGTTTGTCAGAGGTCAAGGTCAATCTTCAGTTTTAGTATTTTACATGTCCCTTTCATCATAATGTTCTTTACTAAAATTGGGGTACTTTGAGAATGTGCACCATCAAAACAATATTTAGTTTTATGAATATTTCGAAGGCCACCTTTGAAATAACCAAACTGTGAAAAAAAGAATCAGTTTTCAATTAACGATTGGGTACACTTGTACTGCAGTTCTCTCAAATATGACCAGATTTATATTGTTTGATGTTAATTATAGTAGGGGGGCTTCATACTGCTCCTTTTAAAGTTGTAAAATGAAATTATTGTTAATAAAATAATATTAAATTAGATGGTTTATTACAAGTAGAATTAATTTAAAGTGATACTGATTAAGTATTTTTTGCCACCCTGTTGCATTTGATTATCACGCATTATACATTTATTGACTGGGTTCAAGGGCAACGTGTTTTGTCGAACCCAAGAACCAAACTGTTTGCCTGAGGCCGTTAGGCCGAAGTCAAAGAGTTTGGTTCGAGGGGTTGACAAAACGCATTTTGCCCGACAACGCAGTTGATAAATGTTTTGTTATACCTTTTATTTATTTATTTTATTATTATTATTTTTTGGACATACATTTAGCTGACCCCGCCCATTATGTGACATAAGCAGTCCAACATCTCATCGACAGGTCCAATATCTCACTCGATCTTTTTATGCCCACTCAGTAAAACATTGGAAATGTTAGACATTTTTAGCTCACCTGAGCTGAAAGCTCAAGTAAGCTTTTCTGATCACCCATTGTCCGTCGTCCGTCCGTCTGTAAACTTTTCACATTTTCGACTTCTTCTCAAGAACCACTGGGCCAGTTTTAACCAAACTTGATACAAAGCATCCTTGGGTGAAGGGGAGTTTAAATTGTTAATATGAAGGGCCAAGTCCTCTTCAAAGGGGAGATAATCAAGAAAATACAAAAATTTGGTGGGCTCATTTAAAAATCTTCTTCTCAAGAACCACTGGGCCAGAAAAGCTGAAACTAAAGTGGAAGCATCCTGGGGTAGGGTAGATTCTAAATTGTTCAAATCATGACCCCTGGGGGTAGGGCGGGGCCACAATAGGGAATCCAAGTTTTACATTGAAATATGTAGTAAAAATCTTTAAAAATCTACTTCTCAAGAACCACTGGGCCAGAAAAGCTGAAACTTATGTGGAAGCATCCTGGGGTAGTGTAGATTCTAAATTGTTCAAATCATGACCCCCGGGGGTAGGGCGGGGCCACAATAGGGAATCCAAGTTTTACATTGAAATATTTAGTAAAAATCTTTAAAAATCTACTTCTCAAGAACCACTGGACCAGAAAAGCTGAAACTTATGTGGAAGCATCCTGGGGTAGTGTAGATTCTAAATTGTTCAAATCATGACCCCTGGGGGTAGGGTGGGGCCACAATAAGAACTTCGGGGGGGGGGGGGGGAATCAGGTGAAAAACAGCAAGGCCAAAGTTACTCAGGTGAGCACTGTGGCCCATGGGCCTCTTGTTTTGGAACAAAGGTATAACAATATCAGTTATTACATCTTGAGGCCTTGGGCTTTGTAAGAAAAAGTAAGTCATGGTATAACCCGCCTTTTAGTTTTTCTGCTATGAATTGTCTATTTATCCAGTACAGTTTGAAGTCTGTGATTACCAAACTGTGTTGATTTATGCATTTTGGGATCTTGGGATACAGTTCGGTATCTCGAACACTGATGTCTTGTATACCATCAATATGTCAAAGTGATTTTGAAGTCCCAACCCCTTATTTTTAAGTATTTTACTCTGGATATCTCGAATCCTTGGATATCCTGAAGTTTGTTCTCGGTCCCATTGAGTTCTAGTTAATGAGGTTTGACTGTATATATGTTTCTTTTCGTTATCATTTAGCTACAAATCATTGAAACCTGTCAATCTCCAACGTGGCTTTATGACCAGGTCTAACTTTGCAGCCTTCCAACAGTAATTGAAAATCGTCAGTGATAAAACCTAAAACGATTTCAAAATCCCAAGAACCCCAGTCCACTCCCAGTGTTTTGGAGAATTTGAAAGTTTATACATATACTCCCCCTCCCCCACCTTTTTGTTATTTAATATATAATAAACATCTATAGTTATCTGTATCAAGTCTTTAGACTTTATTATTTGACAATGTTTTGTCAACAATAAGTTAATAACTATGTTAGTAAAAACCCTGATTATACAGAATCTCATTTGACCTGTGAATTTTTTTGGCATCTTTATTTTTATATGTCAATACGTCAGATACATGTATCTTGCCTGAAGAGGAGAAAGCAATGAAAACGAATTGTTTCATTGAAGTTTATGTAAGTACATATATGTATGCATCTACATGTATATACATGTATGTATCTTGTTTGATCATGAGGTAGAGTTATAGAAACTAGTTTGTAAAGTGTGAATAAATTATAAGCCTCTTTTTTTTGATGTGTATGAAGTGATAACGGCATTGGATCACGTGATGATTAGCATAAGCGGCTAAAATTGAGAAGATAGTAGTTTGCATGTCAGTTATAATAATTCTTCAGATGCTGTATATGACTTTATTTTTTTAAAATGGTTGGTCAGATTGAAATTTCTTAAGTGGTCCATTTCTGGGGGGGGGGGGGCAATCATGTTTTACTCTATTTGAACCAAGAGATCAGTTCATATAGACGTTTTGGGCACAAGGTACCTGAGTGCATGCACTATACATAGGGAATCTTTCAATGATGAAGTAGACTTATATAAGGATTTTTTTTCCAGACACGTATCATTTTTGAAAGGGGGCAGCCAGAGAAAAAAAATTGCAACTTACCTGAAAAAACTCCGACAAGCAAAACCAAACTCGAAAATCCTATTTCCGGGGGTGGGGTGGGGGGTGATTAGTGCGGGGGGAGAGGGGGGGCAACCAGCCTTTAAATGAACATTTTCAACAGTATAAGGTTATGTTTGGGGAAAAAAAGGGGGGTTACAAATTAAAAAATGTTGAGGCAATTGATAATAATTTTTTCTGCATTTTTACGAAAGGGTTCTGCGATTCATGAAAAGGTAATTTGTTCCACAATGAAACATTGGAAATACTGAAAAGAATTTTTAAACAGATTTGTTCGTAGACGAATGTCATAATTGGCTGCAGAACGTAAAATATGATTATCAGAAGAAATAAATTCAAAAGACCCAAATTAGTCAGAGTAAAACGCATCATTTTGAATGGGAAAAGCAGGTTGGTGGATAATATACCGGTATTCGCTATATTTCGCTAAAAATTAACAAATTTTATCAGTTGACCTATTTTTTCCACTCCTTACCCTAAGCAGCTAAGGGTACTAGCAGAGTGTAGAAATGTCAGCTGTCTTCATAATAAACATAAGAATTTTAAAAGATCGCCTCCAAGATAGTTTTAATCCCCCCTCCCTCATTAGTATTAACTCTCTTCCAAATTCATCACTATTTTAGTCCAATACCTTTAATTGGAGACTGGGTTCAAAATATTTTATTACAAAGGACCAATATAAATAAATTCAGATATCGTGTATATTTAACTGTAGCGGTCAGACGGGTTCAATCTCCGGTGGCCAGATTGCTCAGTTGGTAGAGCACCTGATTGGAGACTCAGGGGGCCTTGGTTTGAATCCCGGTTTGGTCCGTCGCATTTTTTCTCCTCTCCTGTTACATTTAGCGCCGTGCCATGCCCTGGAAGTGACAGGTGAAAGACCTGTCAGGGAAGAGCCTGTGTTGGTGTATTCGGGGCCTAAGACCTCTAAGGGGGGAGGAATATGGCGGTGAGATGGGTTAGATCGCCGGTGGCCAGATAGCTTAGTTGGTAGAGCACCTGACTGGAGATTTAGGAGGCCTGGGTTCGAATTCAGGTCTTTCTCCTCTACGATTGCATAACAAATACAGAGAGGACAGCCCCCCCCCCTTAATTATTAAAAAAAAAAAAAGAATAGTAAGAGCCTATAATTTCGATATCCATATTTCGTTCTATGCAAGCAGATTGTACTTTTTCTCACATTTAGAAGTTGGCCATGTACGGTATACTAAAATATTTTAGTAAACTGTACATGGAAATATATATGGATATCGTAGACGGAGAAATCGCATATTATTGAGAAATTATAGGCTCTTACCTATTTTTTTAATAATGAAAGGGGGAGGGGGTATCGATCTACACTTCATGCAGGTGCCTGTGACAGAAAGGGGTGAGAAATATCACCGCAAGTCACACCTACCTTTGTAGAGGACTGGGATGTTTTTTTTTTTTTTTTTTTTTTTTTTTAACCAGAGGACTGTATTTCCCAACTATATGATATTCAAACAAACCTCAAGTAAGCCTATTGAAAAAGAAATAATTTCATCCTTGAATTATGCATGCTAAAACCAGGGACCTTATATACATGTACTAGTATATAGGTCCCTGCTAAAACTTTAAGTAAACTGGTAAAAGGCATTCGTCACATTGTTATTTATGACCCAGCTAAAAGTTTGCGTGATTTTATAATGAGGGGTACTTTACAAATGTAATTTGCACCTCCTGCCCAAACTGAGCTAGATCTATACTATAGCTACATCTACATGATTCAAGCCCCCCCCCCCCCCCCCCCTCGCAATTTGAAGTAGGTCGCGCTATATTCGAAATATTCATACTTCCTTTCATCCGTGCTACTGAATTTAAAGCTGGCTTTTGTGTCATATAAAAAAAATAAGATTCTTTTTTCTAAGAACGAGAACTACCGTTTGCAAAAGTGGGCGTGTCCGGTTCTGAACCCTTTTAGGAATTTTTTTAGAAGCTCGGACACAGGAAGTATACTAGGCGCTTGCGTGAACGTCATCGGCAACCGATATCGAAGTAAATAATGGCGGAGAATAAGTGAGAATATTAACAATCAACGGCAATCCGTCCCTTTTTGCTGTCCAAATGGCGTTGATTACACTCTGAGTAGAAAGACTAATTATTTGATGAGCCACTAAGACTGTTTTGAAAGACCTGCAGAGGCCAAGGTACATAAAAACAAAGCCCAATCGATGTCATAGTCTCTTTGTTTTCGTTTTGTTTTTGTTGTATATTTGACAACTATTTCTTATTTAACTGATGTCGTCTGTTTGTAGATGGAATTGAGGGTCGGAAACAAATATAGACTTGGAAGGAAAATTGGAAGTGGATCTTTTGGGGACATTTATTTGGGTGAGACAATATAATGATTCACAGGAAGTTTTGACAGCTAAGTTCCAGTCTTTGTGATGTCATAACATTATTATGAGGGAAGGATTTACTGGTAGTATTAAATTTATATGTTTCATTGAATTTTTCGTAGATGATAAAGGGTAAAAGATAACTTTCACATGCCAAGATGTTGAAAGAGTGTCAATATAATAGTCTTGGATACGTAATATCACACACTCCATCGAGTCCATGAATCAATGATACAGAAATATTACTAAACCTCATAATATTGTGCTGATCTGTGCGCTTAATAACATTATGCGAATCAATAAATGTATAATTTGATATTTTAAATATATTTGAAGGCTTAAGTGAATGAAAATATTCACTGACCTATTGACACAGTTTCATATGTTGCAAATGAGAGAAGTCATGTACATACAATTTTGTGGAAGTTCGATTTTTATAACACAATAAATTTGAAACAGTATTTGTTACAGAAGGAAATAATTTGATTGTGTATGCGATCTCACATGTATACCGGATACATTCATGCAAACATTCACAGCGATTTTTTTCTGCCCATTGGGAATGGGTCCAGTACCGATTCAATTGGGAAAAATAGCGTTGAAATAGAACAAAGGGAAATTTTGCATTTATTCTAACCTCAGTATCTATTAGTCAATGCTTTAAAGAATAATCAACAAGTATTCATTGTTTTACATATTAATGTCTCTTGTTCTCCTGTTGTCATGCTTTCAAGTCATAAATGTGAACTATGGTACTGACTACGCTGTCAACACACGCGTCCCACCAAATTACCACTGATTTCTACTTTCAATTTAAGAGGAAGTAAAACAATTAGTTAACTCTTATAATGTTTCATATGAAAAGAATTATGATGTCATCATACTCAGTTCCTCGGCAGCTAAATTGGAAATTTTTAATCTAAAAATTGGGGATTTTTTTTTTTGGCACTGGGAATGGTATGGTTTATCAGTACCAGTTATATAAGGGAAAAAAAAACGCTGATTCGTCATTCACACAAAGTATGAGTTATATGTGGTTAGGGCAAAAAATGTAAGAAACAACTTCCATCTAATCTGCTCTTATATCAATTTGTTTGGTAAAACTGGACAACCAACACTTTTTCCGCCTTTTATGTGTCTCTACATTTTAAACTAGTCCATGCCCAGTGCAATTGGCTTTACATTATTATTCATTTACATTTTAATTACATTATAATTTTATACATTCACTGATTCAAAGTTAATGATGGGCCATTATGGTCTTGGTTTTATATTTAAGTGACAAGAAGATAACGTGACATAAATTGTAATACTTAGGGGGTTACCTGTGATACATGTAATAAGCATTAATTCTGTAAAATTGAGTTTTTTTAAATGAGAAATTTATGTCATTTCAAAATGGGAAAAATAGAAATTACTTATTAGGATTTTTGTGGAGTGTGAGATATACATGAATGAGCAAATGGTAATACTTGTGAAGAAGATTTGCTGCATTGGCATGTATTCATAATATCAATTCATACACTAAGGAAACTGAACACAAATGCAGTCTTAAACTAACATCTTAGTTATTATTTCATTGTCTAAACCTTTTATCAGTATTATGGTTTCTTATTTCTTACATTACTATTATCACGATCATATTCTCAAATACAAAGGATTATTTTTGAAGCTTAAATATATTTGCTAAATATGACAGCTTAAGAATCCTGTGATAGAATTCAAACAGAGTAGACTGAGGATAATGTTAGATCTCTCACGTATCTAATCACATTGTAGGGACTGACATTTCTAATGGAGAAGAAGTGGCCATTAAATTAGAATGTGTGAAAACAAAGCACCCACAGCTTCACATAGAAAGCAAGATCTACAAAATGATGCAGGGTGGAGGTAATCTTATATACAATGGTTCTTTATTTAGGCATTGTAAATTATCAAAATCTAACCAGGAATCTTTGATACAGATTTTTGCAGTGTTTATCCCTACATTATATAGAAATATAGTGATGTTATGTGGAGGCTTTCTCTGATGTTTTATAGTTGGTATCCCTACGATAAGATGGTGTGGAGCAGAGGGAGACTACAATGTAATGGTCATGGAACTCCTCGGTCCCAGTTTAGAGGACCTCTTCAACTTTTGTTCTCGGAAATTCAGTCTGAAAACGGTCTTACTACTAGCAGATCAATTAGTAAGTCATGAGGGAACCCTAAATTTAAGTTAATGTTTTATGTATTAAAAATAAACTCGTTAGAATCACCTAAAAAATACATCTTTTTTGTAAAATCTTTCACTATTATGCTTAATTATGTATACAAGTTTGAGATTTTGCAGTGCACACTATGTTTGCATCAACTTCAAAAATAGTAAAATAATTCTTGGCACTATTGACAGGGCTGTGTTTTAAGTGAGCTTGCAGTACTATTAGTACACATTTTCAACTTCCATATCTCGAAACTCTGAATATCCTGGTGTTTTTCTCAGTCAGTGATTTTTCTACACCCATTTTAGGTCCGAATATCGGCCCTTTCCCCTATCAAAAATTACCGATTTTTTCCCAATTTCATTTGCTTTTTCCCCAAAATAAAACTGTTCTTGTTTTTGTTATGTTGAATTTTTTTTATGTAGGACTTATATAAAATGGAACACTATTGTTCTCGGTCAATAATAGTGAAGAAAGCTGATTATTTTGTGCATTTACAAGACATAGAAAAACACATGGATCATGTCAAACTAAATGCATCGTAAGAAAGTGTAAGATGCATGTGAACCGGCGAAAGATAGCTTTATTTGTAAATCAAAGTACTAGTAGTTCTACAATAAGCCTGATTCCAACTGTTTCTGTAACACCCAGAAGATGCAACTAATATTTTAGGGTAATTGCAGCAATATGATAAGGGTAATTTAAAAAGCTTTAATAACTAGTTAGAAAAAAAGGATTTGTTATAAATCATTTCAGGTTATATCACTTTCAATGGCTATTATGAGTAGGATTTTCTTTTATGTCTACCATTATGGCAAAAAAAAAGAAGAATGGAATTATAGGACAGTCTCAATTAATGACAACTTTCAAAGATTAAAAAAAAAAGTTAAAAATGTAGAACTGTGTCTAATTTGTTAGTTTGTAGTAAATATTTTGAATAAAAGATGTTACATTTACTTATATATTTTATTTTACCTGTCAATTAAGGTTAATTTCAATAGTATTAATTTTTCCCAATTTGACACAAATGTCGATAATTTTTCCCAATTGTAAAGGCCCAGGCCCCTTTTAAAAAGTGTAGAAAAATCACTGTCAGTTAAACGAAGATTGAAATTCTGAATTTGAACTGTGATGTGTTTATATTCCAGATAAGTAGAATAGAATACATTCACTCCAAAAATTTCATCCATCGAGATGTGAAGCCAGATAACTTTCTGATGGGACTCGGAAAGAAAGGGAATCTTGTGTATATTATAGACTTTGGACTTGCCAAAAAGTATCGAGATGCCCGAACTCACCAACATATTCCATACCGAGAAAACAAGAATCTCACGGGCACAGCCCGCTATGCCAGCATTAATACACATTTGGGAATAGGTAATGATGTTTACATACATGTGGTACAACTGCTGTTGAAAATGAGTGTTTTTGAAACCTTATTCTTCCTTATTCTTTTCTAGAGTTGATACAAAAACTTGATATTGTTAAGATTGAATATTTAAATGTCAGTCTTACTTGCAACAAAATTTGAGGGGATATAGTAATGTGCTTGTGTGTGTGTTTGGGGCTGTGTGTGTGTGCGTAATAGACGTTATGCAAGTAATAATTTATTAAAGGATGAATGTACTCTTTTGGGGATGCTCATCTTTGGGGTGCCCTTGTTTTACAAAAAGATTGATGTATTACAGTATAATTTCATCTTTTTTTCCTTTTGTCTAGCTAAAATTAAAACTTGTTTTTTCAAATAAGCGTACCATAAATTATATCATGTTTTTTTTTTTTTTTTCTGAACAGAACAGAGCCGACGTGATGACATGGAATCGTTAGGATACGTGTTCATGTACTTCCTAAGAGGAAGTTTACCATGGCAGGGACTAAAGGCAGCAACCAAACGCCAGAAATACGAGAGAATCAGCGAGAAGAAAATGTCCACTCCCATCGAGGAACTGTGTAAAGGATTCCCTTGTAAGTGAACATGGTTGTAGATTACTTTTCAAGTTTACATCAACCTCTCAAAAATAGATGTATATTTCTTCTCCCAGCTACGGAATTATAAGTAATCAAAGTTAATTCAAGTGAAAAGAAGCTAAGATGTCACTTCTTTTTATATTTAAGAGTAGAATTTCTATACAAGTGAATAGGGAGACTCAGACTGAAACTCCTCACTATTGGCTAGAACCAATAGAGGAGATAGGGATCCCATTTAAAATCATTATATAATCTTGTTGGGTCAAGTTGAACAGAATTACCCTGATTTTGACTGGTAACTGGATGATGTATTTTTAGAGTGTGTTTAGAACTGAAACTACTTCAAAGAGAGTGAAAATGGATAAAAAGTTTAGAATTTCTTAAAAGAAATTTTACTTGCTTAAAAAAAGTAAGGTCAGAACAGTTTCTGTAACTGGTTAAGTAAAGAAGACTATTTGACATCATTAAATCAGTTATTTCTTTTTCAGCTGAATTTGCCACCTACCTGAACTTTTGCCGATCCCTGAGGTTTGACGACAAGCCAGATTATTCCTACTTGCGACAGCTATTTCGTAACCTCTTTCACAGACAGGGTTTTACATATGACTATGTATTTGACTGGAATATGCTAAAATTTGTAAGTCACATTAAGGTATTGTTTGCTCTCAGTTGTGCCTTATTAGCTCACCTGAGCCAAAGGCTCAAGTGAGCTTTTCTGATCAAAATTTGTCCGTTGTCTGTCGTCGTCGTAAACTTTTCACATTTTCATCTTCTTCTCCAGAACCACTGGGCCAATTTCAACCAAACTTGCTACAAAGTATCCTTGGGTAAAGGGGATTCAAGTTTGTTCAAATGAAGGGCCATGCCTTCTTCCAAGGGGAAATAATTAGGAATTCGTGAAAAATTAATGGCATCATTAAAAAATCTTCTCAAGAACCACTGTGCTTGAAAATATGAAACTTATGTGGAAGCATCCTCAGGTAGTGTAGATTCAAATTTGTTCAAATCATGACCCCCAGGGGTCGGGTTGGGCCACAATGGGCGATCAAAGTTTTACATAGGAATATATAGGAAAAATCTTTAAAAATCTTCTTCTCGAGAACAGCAAAGCCATAATTGGTCATATTTACTTGGAAGCATCCTCAAGTAGTGTAGATTCAAGTTTGTTCAAATCATGACCCCCGGGGGTCGGATGGGGCTACAATGGGCAATCAAAGTTTTACATAGGAATATATAGGAATAATCTTAAGTAATCTTCTTCTCAAGAACAACAAAGCCATAATTGGTCATATTTATATGGTAGCATCCTCAGGTAGTCTAGATTCAAGTTTGTTCAATTCATGACCCCCGGGGGTCGGGTGGGGCCACAATGGGCGATCAAAGTTTTACATGGGAACACATAGTAGAAATCTTTAAAAATCTTCTTCTCAAGAACAGCAAAGCCATGATTGGTCATATTTACATTGAAGCATCCTCAGATAGTGTACATTCAAATTTTTTTCAAATCATGACCCCCAGGGGTAGAGTGGGGCCACAATGGGCGATCAAAGTTTTACATAGGAACACATAGTAAAAATCTTTAAAAAAAAGCTATTTCTTAAGAAAAGCAAAGCCATGATTGGTCATATTTATATGGAAGCATTCTTAGATAGTGTACATTCAAGTTTGTTCAAATCATGACCCCCGGGGGTTGGGTTGGGCCACAATGTGGTGATCAAAGTTTTACATAGGAATATATAAGAAAAATCTTTAAAAATCTTCTCAAGAACAGCAAAGCCATGATTGGTCATATTTATATGGAAGCATCCTCAGATAGTGTACATTCAAATTTGTTTGAATCATGACCCCCGGGGGTAGGGTGGGGCCACAATGGGCGATCAAAGTTTTACATAGGAACACATAGTAAAAATCTTTAAAAAAACTATTTCTTAAGAACAGCAAAGCCATGATTGGTCATATTTATATGGAAGCATTCTTAGATAGTGTACATTCAAGTTCGTTCAAACATGAGCCCTGGGGTTCGGGTGGGGCCACAATGGGTGATCAAAGTTTTACATAGGAATACATAGGTTAAATCTTTAAAAATCTTCTACTCAAGAACAGCAAAGCCACGATTGGTCATATTTAAATGGAAGCATCCTCAGATAATGTAGATTCAAATTTGTTCAATTCATGAACCCCCCCCCCCCCCCCAAACCACTTTTATATTTAAACTTTTTAACCTTTCAAGACTGAAGTGAATCCTGCTTTTTCCTAGCCATAGTGCTCAGGTGAGCGATGTGGCCCCTGGGCCTCTTGTTAAGTTTTATGAAGGCTGAAAAACGTGTCAAAGTATCATGCATTTATTGCAGTAATATCTCTCTTGCTTTCTAAGTTATTATGGAGAGGGGAAAAAAGTATTCTTAATTCTTTTTGGCTAATTTGAATTTGAAAAAAAGTTTCAACTTAAAAGGTTACGCCCAGGTCATGCCAATATTCCCTATAAATGCAATTTTACAATTTCCTAATCCTGTAATATGTGTTGGCTCTTCTTTCAGGGAGGGAGAAACAGTGATGATGCAGACAGGGGTAAAGTGAGTTCTTCTGCCCGACCTCTACATGGGACAGCAGGGGGCAGTCGAATGAGAGGGGAACAAATACCCCCCACAACCACTCCCCCAGGAGACTACAATAGTATGTATATTTGATATTCAATATATATTCACAACTTTTAATGTATTTCAAAATGAAGAATTTGAGAATTTTTTTCATTCCAAATTTTTTTCTTCATAATTTTGAAGTTCTAGTTTCTTAAATTTTTTTTTTTAAATTAAAAAGAATAGATATAGTGCCATAATCATGTATTAAAGAAAGCTTCTTGAAAATGTTGGAAAGTTAATTTCATTGTAGCATTTCATAAGGTTTACTTCCTTTTTCCATATTTCTACATTTTGATTATTATTATATGCATAGCATTTTGTTTTTGATGAAAATATTTGGTTTGTAGTATATTTAGATTTATATATTGTAGAGATTTTAATGTAATTCACAATTATATACAGTAAACTGGAGATATTATGAATTTATTGGAAGACAATATCAAGTAGTCAGATTTTTTTAATGTATTATTTTATGAAAGTCGGATCTTATTATACATTTAAATTCCTTGCATGCTGTTATAAATCTGATAGCTGTGTACTGTAACTTTACCTGCCTTTAAACTTCAATAAAAGACTGTGGTTGATTCCATGGACAATGCTCTGTTAATAACTGAAGCACTGAGCAGACAAAGCTGGAATGAGGCTGTTAACTTCCTATCGTAAGCCAGCAATGTGAATGCTTACTTGACAATAAAAGGGGTTGCTTGACTTGACAAAACACCAACACATACCATAGAGCTTCTAGTACAAGCATTCTGATTGGTCAGATAATCAGACAGATACATAAGTGTAATGCTTCATGGATTCAGATAATTCCAAGGAAGATTTTTATTCGGCTTGTTGGAGTTGTAATATTTCTCTTTTGTTGCCTCTTGGATTGCATGGAACAATTAATTTCTGTTGGTACTGGATCCACCAATGTTTGCTTTTTGCTGTTGTTGCCTGTGTTGGTGATAATCATGGCTAAAAATTATCGATTTAATAATAGAGGTTTTTCAAGCTGATATATTTTAACAGCCAGGCACCTGCAGCTATTTTTTTTTCTCACACCTTCTGCATGACGCTGGATTTTGCATGTTCTCTAGCCTTTCTGCATGCTTCCTTCCTTTATGAGATAGCCCGGAGTTCAGTTACATTTTGGTTCTTGTTTCTTCTGTGGCTTGTTCTGTGAGCAGAGTCACAGCTACTATCTTTCTTTCTGTCCTAGATGCCACAAGGGGCTCACGTACCAGAGATCGCTTGCCAACTCGTCTCTCCCTCTCTACGCGGGGTCCCGAGGCTGCCGAGGGGACTCCTGATGCTAAGGCTAGCGAAAGTCGACTAGCTACCCCCTCATCTGGTGGGAGAATCAGTTTCAAAGGTTCAGGATTACCAATTCCCGTGGGGAACCCCAATGACAGTGCCAAGCTTCGGCGTATTATGCAGGAAACACGGCCCCACAGTGTTCAGTTAAAGCACAAACCATAGCCAGTTTATTTACATTTGTGTTGTTTCTGAATATTCATCTGTTCATGGGACTGTGTTTTATCTGCTTATTTTAAATAACTTGTTATGATTCACTTTGTTAAGTTTCCAGGAAAAAAAAAACCCTACATGTTGCTGTATTTTTGTTACTTGAGTAACAGACTGTTCAGTTCTTTTGTGTTCATTTTTGTATAATTATATGCTGTATATATGGTTGAAAAACTTGAACATTTCTGATTGGAGAGACAGAGATGTATGCTGTGCATTATTACAGTTTAAAGTGCAATATTGTTAGACAGTTTATGTTATGTACATGTAGTTTGTTTTGGACCATTGTAAACTTGATGTCGGTAGGTTGTATGTAGAATATTTATAGGTGCTCATTGTAGTGTCGAGGATATCAAAGTGCTCCCCTGATGATTAATGTTAGTTTTGTACATTTTAATCATAGCTGAATCTCCGAGACCTATATCTCGGGAGCGAGAACGAAGAACGAGTACACGTCTTCACCGAGGAATCCCAACAGGTGCTGAGTTTGTGAGAGATGGAACCCGTGTGTCAACTGCTCCGATGCAGCCAGGGATGGTGACAAATTCGGCAATACGGAGAGGAAGTGCCTCCAAAGACGGTGATAATCCGACAAGAGCTGGTTCCTCTCGACATGCGCGCAAATGAGAAAAGAGATGTTTCCAAAATTTGTACAAGGTTTCCATAAACAAATCCTACCAAATCAGGAAATGTCAGTTGTGATCATGTGCCAACATTAACCAAAACAGTGATACAAATGTGGTAAATGATGTGTGTTTGCAACAAATTGATAAAATGATTGTCCGTTGTGTAACGAGATGGCAATAAGTGAACATACCAAGAGAAATTTTTACCTATAACTGGTTTGCAAGGTTTAGATCTCAATAAAATACCTTACAGTGCAGTAGGTAATTAGTTACATGTATTGACTTTAATCCAGTGCTTACAGAATTGTGTGCTGGAACCGTAGCTTGTGTGAATGCACTTGAGGTCGCTTCTCTTACATGCCACTTTCTCATCCCTAAATTCACTCATGCTCATTACTTTATTCTGTATATACAAGAGTTTGAAGAACATTTGTGAATTATAATATTTACTGTACATATTAATCTAATTTTAACTGGAAAGTAACTGTGTATCTGTGACCATTTATATAAGTGATGAAGTTCTAAAAGTGACAATGATTGGGAGTTTGTGATGGTAGGACCAAACAATTGTTGTATTGTGATATTTTTGTCAATTGTCCCATTCTCTAATGTGTTTGAAAGCTTCAAGCAGTCTTATCTCATGGGTGAAAATCTTACATTTTAGATATACGTTGTAGTACAGTACAAGTATTATTGAGAATCTTATTCTTTGTTACTACATGTATGTTATTAAAAATATTGTTTTTCTTTACAATAGTACATAATAAATTGCATGATGCTATATAACTATGCATTACAAAAATCTATTAAAATTGCTTTAATGTAGAGAAAATTTGAAAGTCAAGACAATTTTAAGATGTAATGCAAAAGGAAATTAAAACTGAATGTGGTCAACATTTTTGACTGCCTACAATTTTACATGTTATCAAGATATACAAGATAATGTGTAATTTCTGCAGTGTGACAAATTTTAATAATGATTCAAATGAACCATTTAATTTTTTGAAAATCCAGACCAATCTGTCATATGAAAGATGGGGATTTGAATATATTATGATTATATATTGTGTAACTTTGAATGATCACAAAATGCAACAAAATTAAAAATTTGCAGACATTGTCAGTCAATATTTCCTACAAATGAAATTGTTTTCCATAACAAACATGTTATGAAATAAAGAGTATGATATAGAAGTAATGTAAAAGATTTTTAAAAAATTCTTTCCAAAAATTTTATAAAGACATGCATTGTATATATTAAAACAACTTATAAATTAACAGAAGTATAGCTGTTTGTGTGAATGCTTTTAAATAAATGATCTACTTTTAATTGGAACTTTGTTTTAAAATGTATTTAATGGTCAGTATTGTTGACTTGTCATCATAATAAAATGTTAATAAAGAAACCCCTTAATGTTGAATAATTCTGTTCATAAAAAACACACTGATATGAGATATAAAAGAAACAGACATATGGTCCATGCCTATCTGTCTTCAGTATTTACATGACACACATGTTATTGTTGCCATGGATCTAAAACTGAACCCCTATAGTATTCACTGTCATTTTGTTCATCTGTCTGTTCACCAACAGTAACACTTTCATGTGACACCTCTTGAGAAAATTTCAACCTGAAGACTTTTTTTAAATTTCGATGGAGAAGTCAACCACTTGGAAAGAGGTCAAGGTCATTGCAATGACTGTTACATAGTTAAGTGACATGGTCTTAGTACACTATAACCTTTACAACCATGTTTGCATTAAAAGTAGTAACTATAGATTATGGGGTTGAAAGATGAAAAAGTCAAGATATTTTTTTTTTTACATTAAATCATTGTGGTGCAATAGCTCAAACATTGTGTAACCTAAACTTCAATTTACTATGTAGATGGAGAATTCTTAACACATTTATTTTCAAATAATTACATATCCAATACATTTTTCCTTGAGATTCTTTAAAAATTAGAAAAAGTTCATGTTCTCATGAACTACCGTGGGATGAGTAAGAATATTTCCTTTGTGATGTGATTGAAGTCAAAAAATAGTGCAAACTTTTTTTTTTCCAAAAATGATCGTTGAATGACAAAAATATGGGGCAAGTCATCAGAAAAATGATGTAGATATAAGATATGAATTTAATTTTTGAGAATTCATGAGGTACATGAACTACAACGCTTCATGCCTGCATATTTATTATGAAGCACTAACGTGCTTCATGAAATATGCAGGCATGAAGCATCATAGTTCATGTCCTCATGAATTCTCAAAAAAATTAAATTCATCTCTTAAATGTCTTTTGATGCCATCATGCAATTTAGAAGGAAACGACTTGTACGGTAATTGACAAAATAGGACAGCATGATTGTATGACTTGCTTAGAGGACAAGGTATGGTTACAGCGGAATTTGGTCCCTTACTTGATGTGATAGTTTGCAGTTAAGAGCTTAAAATGATGCTTGTTTTAAAATCAGCAATAAATTTGATTCAAAGCATGCACAGAGGCCACAAGAGGGTGCCAAAATGAGACATTTTGCTGAATTTTCCTCAATTCTGTTGGAATTTCATCAATTCACTTCACGATACATAGCTAGAGCACAAGCTTGCTAATCTGTATTGATGACAATTTGGCCATAAAATCTTTGTTTAATACAAAGAACAGTTCAATGGTAATTGATTAATTATTTTAATAAATATTAAACAAAGATTTTATGGCCAAATTGTCATCAATATTGAATTAAATGGTTGTAAAATGTAGGCAGGAATCGGGAGTTACTTTGCGTAGTTCTTTATGCATTTTCACTATATGATCAATAAAGCCCACCCAAACACCAGAACCCCTGACCCTGGGGCCATGAATTTCACTATAATTTTGGTAGAGGGCTCAATGCTTGTTACAATCATGCCAACAGTTTTACTGCTTGATGTTCAGGAGTTAAAAAAAGATGATTTTTGAAGATTACATTAATTTTGATGGTTTTGAGCCCCATTTCTCAGACCCCAGGGACCATGAAATTAAGAATTTTTGTTACCCTTACCCAATTGATGCTATTTGCCAAAATTGGTTGAATTTTGTTCTTAGTCAGTGTTCCAGAGAAACTGAAAATGTTCAAATGTTAACATATGACAGATGAAGGATGAAAACAGATAGCAAAAGGTCACCTGAGTGACTCGGTTTTTGTGCACATTTACATCAGTTTAAAGCATATTTTGTTTCAGAACACAGAGCACATACCTTGCCTATCTACCAAATTTAAATATTTCATTCACAAGTATCAGATGCATCTTGTGCATAAAAATCACAGATTAGCAAGCTTGTGCTCTAGCTATGTATCGTGAAGTGAATTGATGAAATTCCAACAGAATTGAGGAAAATTCAGCAAAATGTCTCATTTTGGCACCCTCTTGTGGCCTCTGTGCATGCTTTGAATCAAATTTATTGCTGATTTTAAAACAAGCATCATTTTAGTTCATGTCCTCATGAATTCTCAAAAAAATTAAATTCATCTCTTAAATGTCTTTTGATGCCATCATGCAATTTAGAAGGAAACGACTTGTACGGTAATTGACAAAATAGGACAGCATGATTGTATGACTTGCTTAGAGGACAAGGTATGGTTACAGCGGAATTTGGCCCCTTACTTGACGTGATAGTTTGCAGTTAAGAGCTTAAAAAGGTCTCTTGTTCTGGTGCTAGGCAGCACTCAATTGATATAGGGAAATCAGTACTCTACTGAGAGAAGTTATTCCCCTCTACTTTTCACCTGTGATAAATAATCACTGTAAATTAAATGTAATTGATAGGCCAATTGAATAAAAGAATTATAATTATACAATGTTTATTAATGTGTAATAGAAAAAAGTACTTTCATAGTTTTGATGGTCAGATAGACTTGTAAATAACACAGAAATAAAAATAAGACAGAAATACCTTATTTTTGTGCATTAAATGTTATTCAAAGAACAAGCGAGGCCAATGTGAGATGGAATGTGATAAGTTTACTATGTGTGTTCAAGTGCTAATGTGTTGTTTAGTCTGCAAATATGGTGATAGTTTTGTTTATTTTGCATGGTGATAATGACTAATGGGAGTGGATTATCAATTCCAAGTTTGAGCAAGTAAACAGATCTACTTTATATGCTCAGTAGACTCACTATTTTGTTGATCCCTGTTCATCTTATTACTCTTGTTTTTGAGCAAAATACCTTATCTATCAGTTTATTTTGTTTTATTTTATACTTCTAAGGATCTTGTACAAGTGTTATATTATACACAGTTGACCGTTAAGGCTCTTGGGCCCCTTGCTTCAAAAGCAGACGAGTGATATACCATGCGAGAGATACATGTATATAATTTTACTACAGAAATTTTGATCAAATTGTGCTTTTTCCCTTATCCTTGAAGAAAATTTATATTTTGCAAATGATTGCCACTCAAGAGACAACAAACTCATTATTAAAAGAAGGAAATATAAATTATATATTTAAAGCAGTGTGAAATGTACAAGTTTCTATCAATATTAAACAATCTAAAATATCAATTGTAAAAAAATCATCTATATTCAAAGATACATGTAAATAAAAAACTGCAAATTTTTAATACAAATTCAATGTACTATACAAAAAACAAAAAAATTGTGGTGTGTTTTTAACATGGTGAAATACACAAGTATGATAAGATGCAACATGGAGACTATATAAAACTAAAGAATGCATGGGGGCATACAAGGTGAGGTCAATCTCCGGCTCTAAGAAATTTTTTTTCTTAATTTTAAAAATTCATAGTAAAGTTATATTTTTCAAGAATTGTTGACTTCAGTATTATCTTTTACACATTTGATTCCTTTATTTTATTGAATAACCTATTGATAAATAATTCATTTTTCAGTACCCCCTGATTCTTTTTAGTTAAAATGTAAGTCATTCATAATTTCTAATATACAACACAAGAAAAGTCAATATACATCATGGCCGTAGGACCCGTGGGGGGGGGGGGCATGGAGGGGCCGTGCCCCCCCCCAATAATTTTGCCGATATATAGATTACTATAGTAAACATAGATACTATATGCTTGTGCCCCCTCAATTAAAACGTCTGATGACCTTTTTCTTTTTTCTTTTTTTGCTTGTCAAGGAATTTTTGGTGGTTGAACTCTTTTTTTTTTTGCTTGTCAGAAATTTTTTGGTAGTGCCCCCTCAACTGTGAACTGAAAAATGTATGGCTGTGCCCCCCCCCCCCCCCCCCAAACTGAAATTGCTTCTGCGGGCCTGTACATGTACTAGTAGAACATAAGCATTCTTCTGGGAATATCACCTAATAACAGATGTTGAAATAAGAAAACTATAAACCATCTTTTAATTCAATGACATTTTCCAGTAACACAAGTCTATAGTAGCTAGATAACAATCATACAGTTGTCTGTACTTTCTCCTGTACATTCTCTGACTCCAGAGTTTTCTCCCCTTGAGCACTCTCTTTCTCGGCCACCTTCTGCTCTTTTCCTTCCTTTTCTTCTGCCTTTCACGTAAAACAAAGTTTTGTTTATAAAACATTCTACTTGTATATGACATGGAGTAATATTAATATGAACATGGTACCTTTTTTATATTTGAATAAATTTTAATTTTTATACACGTATACAGAAAATTGTTATTAATTTCATGGAGAATTGTTGTTGAAAAATATTCTTTCAATGCTTTCACATAAAAAATGGCGTTATTTTTATTAAAGGTATCAACAACTTTCCCTGACTTTTTTTCTATATTAGAACAAATGCGTATGATGACTGGGTATTTAGCCTGACCTCTTCATCCTCCTCTTTTATCATATCGTCATCCTCATCTATCATGGGATCTTCCCCTCCAGATCCGTGAGCAATTTCATACAACTCTCTGGCCTGCTTCACTAGTCTTTTATGATACTCGAGCTTCTGGAAAAGTGGAATTAAAATAATGTAAATCAACATAAACGCAGGATTTTTTTTTGTTTTGTTTAAAAATAGGAATGTCAAATCGGTCAATATTTGATAATCGGTTACCATGGTTACTCGGATGATTTTCCGATCGAGTACCCGGGAATTTGGTAAAAAGTAAAATACAAAGTGTTAATTTAATTGAGACCAGTTAAGCCCTGTTGTACCCCATAGATATATACTTTTTTTAACGTTTTCTATGCCAGTATACAAACATCGAGCAAAACGAAAATGGTTTTTTGCACTAAATTTATTTATCAAATAAGCACATGAGACAACAATTAATACATCAATAATTAGAAATGGTTTATAGTTCTTGTTTAGGAAGATGATTTGATCAACGCAAGAGGAGGACAATCTGTAACGCAGATTTGCAATGATTAGAGAAGCGCAAGAAATAATTTTTAAAGAAGGAGAGGCTATCAAGATCGCTAGACGTATATTATTTAATTAATACTTGTATGTTGGTTGTTTTCCGCATATACGCTTTGTTTACTTTGCATAGATAATCTTAAACATTTTAAAAATCTTTAGATCTATCCTAATGGTTTTTTTTCACTTTTGAAGTGGGTAGCGGCATTTCTTTGTATGTCCGATTTTGCTACCGTATGCGAACTAAATTGTTTTAGGATAATTAACCCTAATTAAACGATAATAAACCTTATTAAACGATGTTCATTAAATACTAATCATTAAAGCCATCAAAAACCAGAAGTCTCTGACGAGACTGTAGCTTTACTGGTTTGTACTTATAACAAAGGCAGAAAATAGTAGCACTTTGACTTGAAACTTTGCAACAGCAATAAATAGAATAATGATCCTTGGTTTAGTCTCTTTTTGTGACAAGATTTATTGCAATCGGACTAAAACTGTAGGAGGAATAACCTTTCAATAGTATTTTACAGAAATTTCAATTTTAGTAACCATGGCAACATCATTAAACAAAATCCAAAATTATGTATCTTAGTGTAGTCTACTTGTGTGCCAAGTTATACTGAAATGAGATCAAAACTGTAGGAGGAGTAACATTTTGAAAGTGTTTCAAGGAAAGGATAACTGCACTTAACGCTGGGTTTTGGGTCTTTTTTCGTCGCTTCTGTTGCTTTTATATCTTAACCTTATTTCACTTATGTATATTTACTAAAGAATTCTGTTAACTTGGCACCAAAATTTAAATGTTAAAATGATTTTAGACTCCTATACAATAAAATAATTCTATGTTTTTGTCCTTACTGTTTTCCAAATATAGAGAATTTACACTTATCTGCCCTTGATTAAACATTAGGTATGCATGAGAGGTGGAGCTAACATTGTAAGAGTGGCTCTAAAATTAGAGTAGATAAATAACAATAACATATATAAAAATACAGATTACTCTTTGCCATCTCCCTCTTTATTCTGTATGGCACAAGTACACTATTAACAAAGGTTTCAAAACGAAATTAACAATATCAGCACATCCATGTAAGGAAAGAATACTTTGAATCGATGTTCGAGCACAGTGTCCTAGTTAGCATAAAACATGCTACCTTACAAGTCACGTGATGGAATTTAGTATTCACATAGTTACCTGAGGAAAGAAATCATGTGATTATAATATTCAACATGCCATAGCCCTTGGTTACTACAGAGAGGGCGAATGTAAGAATAAGCAGCTTTTTTCTCTTTTAAACCATGAGCGCATGTTTGTCTATTAATCTCCTTTTGACACAACATTATTAATGCAAATATACAACTACTGTTAAACGGAGAACAATAGACAAACATGCGCTAACTATGTATAAAGTCAGTGAAAAAGTGGGCGTCCTCATTATTGTATGGAGATTCAAGAAATTGTGATGACCCCTGCCTTTGAAAACAGCTTCGTACTTCGTAAATACATACTTTTATTTAATATAATTACGTAAAGTTGTAGATTAGATGTTGACCATTTCTGCAATTAAAAGAAAAATGCTTGTTTTGAGAGTTTATTTTGTTGCAATTTTGGCACGTCCTTAAGTGCAGTCATCCTTTCTATTTTTAGTAGCCATGGCAACACCATTCATCAAAATCAAAAATCGATACATAGAATTATGTATCTTAGTGTCGTCTACTTGTGTGCCAAGTTCTACTGAAATCAAATCAAATCTGTAGAAGAAGTAGCATTTTTAAAAATTGTTTACAGACGGACAGGCGGACAGACGACGGACACCTTACTATCGCATAAGCTCTACTGGTCTCTGACCAGAAGAGCTAAAAATAACGGGCCACAAGAGGTGATAACAGCTGTGTACTGTGATTGGTCATGGTACTAATTACCGTATAAACAAGTACACAGCTACAGACAATAAGGGTATTAAAAGGTGTGGGTGATGCTTATTATAAGGTAAACATGGACAATTCATTTTTAAGTTGCATTTTTTGATAAGGTTTTGATAAAAAAAAAAAAATTTGTTCTTTGAAATATGAAAAAAAAAATATCCGAGTAATAGCGATTTTAGTACATATGTATTTGATACTTGGTCGTTCGATCGAGTACCTGGTTAACTGGGTACTTGTTGACATCCCTAGTTTAAAAGTATTTGTGGACATGAAAAAAAGGAATAGAAGTTACCTTGTAATTCCCCTCTGGTACCCCATCATACCCATACATGGCCCCATAACAGCAGGCTGCAATGACCCCAGTACTATCACTGTCTCCTCCATGAAACATTGATCTAAAATAAAAATAACACATCCACTGGCCCATCATGTAACATTGATCTATAACAAGATGTGTTTGTGAAACACTGATGCCCCCATATGGCAGCTTATGGCGAAAGTTTCTCAAATGCAAGTCAAAATCCAGGCCAAAAGATAAAACATGTTGGTACCCAAAGAAAGGTCTTGTCTCGAGGAATATACCGGTACCTGTGAAATTTGAAAGACCTAGCTGCAACTGTTCAAAAGTTATGGCGAAACTTAAAGTTTTTTTAAAAGTAAGTAAAACGTCAAGGTCAAAGTGGTTGATATCCAAAGGAAGGTCTTGTCACAAGGATTACATATGTGAAGTATGAAAGCCCTAGCACCAACCATTCAAAAGTTATGGCCAATGTTAAAGTTTTGCAAAAGTAGATCAAACTTCTAGGTCAAGGTCAAAAGGTCAAAGAGGTTGATATCCAGAGGAAGGTCTTGTCACAAGGAATACACATGTGAACTTTGAAACCCAAAGCACCAACTGTTCAAAAGTTATGGCCAAGGTTAAAAGTAGGTCAAAGTAGGTCAAGGTCAAAAAGTCAAAGTTGTTGATATCCAAAGGAAGGCCTTGTCACAAAGAAGTACATGTGAAGTTTGAAACCCCAAGCACCAACTGTTCAGAAGTTATGGCCAAGGTTAAAGTCTCATAAAATTTTGCAAAAGGGGGTCAAACTCCAAGGTCAAGGTCAAAAGGTCAAATATGATGGTACCCAAAGAAAGGTCTTGTCACAAGGAATACACCTGTGAAATATGAAAGTCATAGCTCCATCCAATCAAAAGTTATGGGCAAGGATAAAGTTGACAACAGACAGACAGACAAACAGACAGACAGGACAAAAACAATATACCCCCGCAATCTTTCGATCCGGGGGCATAATAAAAATAAAAAATCCACTGGCCCATCATTCTCAACCAAAATTTCTACAAAAGTCATAATGCTTTTAAAAATGAAAATACTTCTGTATTTCATCATGAAATGGGAAAACTGAACCATTAGAATACTAAATGAATGAAAATGCATGTCTGACATTGAAAATGTATTCTAGTGACATATGGTAATTTTATGATCTGGATATACATGTACCAGTATATGTATACATGTACAAGCATATGTAAAATGTGCTAGCACTGATATAATTATTAGATTCTCATTGTGGATTAATTATGCACATGGAAAAATTTAAATGATCCTTTTGCTAAATTTGAGAACAAGTTGAAAAATTTGAAACACAGCATCAAAGAGACAGATGCTAGGCTCTAATCAGAAGCTTTCAGCTCTGGACCATGAAATACTCAACAAAAAGGAGTTTGCAAGATAACAATGGCCATAAATAATTCATCTTGCATTTCGGTGATACTTTCATTGATGGCTTAAGTTATTTTTAATTCAATCACTTGTGAGGAGCATGTTGCAAAGAAACTGATTTATTATCCAATGCAGAAGAGTTCAAATTTATTACTGAAATTTTCTTAGTTATGTTACCTTTTGCATAGTTCTTCCCAGTTTTTTCCTGATTGCAGAATAGCATCATATCTGTCACAAAAAGTGAAAAAATATTAACAGGAAAAGTTTGAAAACTTGCACTCTTATACATGGCAAGGGGTCTCCATTTTGGGTTGTAGACATCAACTTAATTTTTCACTCTTAGCCATTTTTTAAAGGATTATAAAGTATATATTGAGATCATTGCTAATTAAGAAGTTTCTCATAAGTGAAATCTTAAACTTGTTCAATCTGTTATGAATGCATTTGTGAAAAGCACTTAACATTTGTCATACGAAATACTTAAATTAAAATCTTAACACAGAATCATATTAATTTTTCTGAAAACGGCTGCTGGACTTTGACCAGTTGAGCTCAAGAAGGGAAGGATTGGGTAGAATTTTTCTTCTTGTTGTGTATAGAATTTTTCAATTATTTTTTAGACCTAAGAAAACTTTTTTGTAAAATAAATATAAGTATGAAAATAACTACGCAATCATAGGAGCATCATGACCGCTGGCTCCACCCCAGCCCGAGAAACTCAGACTTTTGTAAAACTTGTCTCGGCCATCTTCGTCCAGATTGTCAGGTTTTGGGTCCTGGCTTCCTTCTAGGAGGTCTTTCTCTTCAAGGTATTTTTTCCAACGTTCCTCAAAATAATTCCTGTAAAATACAAACACTTAAATCTTGGTGTTGGTGTTTCGTGTTGATAGTATATAAGCTGTACATGTATTGCAATTTTTGAGAGGAATCTCCTATTTTGCCTTGGTATTATTCCGTTGATTTCTCTAAGAAGGGTACACAAACAAAGGTTTATCAGGTACACTCATTCTCGTAAGGATCATGTTTGTTTCTTACCAAGCTTCTAAGTTGTCTTCCACAAAGAACTTCTCTGACTTAATATATTCCTGAGCTTTAGGCAGCACACTCATTAAGCCAGCTCCCCACTTTCTGGGTGGCTTTCCTGGAATAAGTTAGGACAAGAAATAACAACACATGAATAAAAGGCACATAGCAGTGAACTATCATTTGAAATAAAGATCATGCACATATGCCTAAAATATAAATTTTTACAGAAGTATTAAACAAACTCAGCGAACTGAGTTACAGATATACTTGTACATTACATAGAAATTTGTCATCAAACATGAAGTAAAATTGTTATTATTAGATAGAAGGATTGAAGAGTACCAGTATCAGTATAGGTATACTGTATACAGGGTTATTTTCGCCCTTTCATACTTGCAAACAATTTCGCCCCGTTTTAAATTCGCCCAGTCACAATTGGGGGGGGGGGGTATGATTTGAACAAAACTGAATCTACACTAAGTAAACAAAAATAAAACAGGGACAAAAATTTCCCTATAACAGTATTTTAATCACTTTTACACATACTTTTACATATAGATTGTCATGATTTCTGTAAACATACTTATTTTAAGGATTATCATATTTTAGCATCTTTCATACTGCTTCTTTCCACTAAATCCTGTACATGTTAATACATGATTAAAATTAATGCTGGTTGTTTTTAAAAATCAGGTACATGTATACTAATCCAAGATTGCATTCATCAGGTAAAGAGGAAACTTCTGCTAAAATTCTACGTACCTTTAGAGTATACATATGCTTATATGAGCTTATAGGAAGACCAAACACAAACACACAGAGTTATGTACCTATAGAGTATACATATGGTTATATGAGCTTATAGGAAGACCAAACACAAACACACAGAGTTATGTACCTTTAGAGTATACATATGGTTATATGAGCTTATGGGAAGACCAAACACACACACACACACAGAGTTATGTACCTTTAGAGTATACATATGGTTATATGAGCTTGTAGGAAGACCAAACACAAACACACAGAGTTATGTACCTTTAGAGTATACATATGTATATGAGCTTATGGGAAGACCAAACACAAACACACAGAGTTATGTACCTATAGAGTATACATATGGTTATATGACTTTATAGGAAGAAAAAAGACAAACACACAGAGTTATGTACCTTTAGAGTATACATATGGTTATATGAGCTTTTGGGAAGACCAAACACAAACACACAGAGTTATGTACCTATAGAGTATACATATGTATATGAGCTTATGGGAAGACCAAACACAAACACACAGAGTTATGTACCTTTAGAGTATACAAATGGTTATATGAGCTTATAGGAAGACCAAACACACACACACACACAGAGTTATGAACCTTTAGAGTATACATATGGTTATATGAGCTTATAGGAAGACCAAACACAAACACACAGAGTTATGTACCTATAGAGTATACATATGTATATGAGCTTATGGGAAGACCAAACACAAACACACAGAGTTATGTACCTTTAGAGTATACAAATGGTTATATGAGCTTATAGGAAGACCAAACACACACACACACACAGAGTTATGAACCTTTAGAGTATACATATGGTTATATGAGCTTATAGGAAGACCAAACACAAACACACAGAGTTATGTACCTATAGAGTATACATATGGTTATATGAGCTTATAGGAAGACCAAACACAAACACACAGAGTTATGTACCTTTAGAGTATACATATGGTTATATGAGCTTATAGGAAGACCAAACACAAACACACAGAGTTATGTACCTATAGAGTATACATATGGTTATATGAGCTTATAGGAAGACCAAACACAAACACACAGAGTTATGTACCTTTAGAGTATACATATGGTTATATGAGCTTATGGGAAGACCAAACACACACACACACACAGAGTTATGTACCTTTAGAGTATACATATGGTTATATGAGCTTATAGGAAGACCAAACACAAACACACAGAGTTATGTACCTATAGAGTATACATATGGTTATATGACCTTATAGGAAGACAAAAGACAAACATGCAGTTATGTACCTTCAGAGTATACATATGGTTATATGAGCTTATAGGAAGACCAAACACAAACACACAGAGTTATGTACCTATAGAGTATACATATGGTTATATGAGCTTATAGGAAGACCAAACACAAACACACAGAGTTATGTACCTTTAGAGTATACATATGGTTATATGAGCTTATGGGAAGACCAAACACACACACACACACAGAGTTATGTACCTTTAGAGTATACATATGGTTATATGAGCTTGTAGGAAGACCAAACACAAACACACAGAGTTATGTACCTTTAGAGTATACATATGGTTATATGAGCTTATGGGAAGACCAAACACAAACACACAGAGTTATGTACCTTTAGAGTATACATATGGTTATATGAGCTTATGGGAAGACCAAATACAAACACACAGAGTTATGTACCTATAGAGTATACATATGGTTATATGAGCTTATGGGAAGACCAAACACAAACACACAGAGTTACGTACCTATAGAGTATACATATGGTTATATGACTTTATAGGAAGAAAAAAGACAAACACACAGAGTTATGTACCTTTAGAGTATACATATGGTTATATGAGCTTTTGAGAAGACCAAACACAAACACACAGAGTTATGTACCTATAGAGTATACATATGTATATGAGCTTATGGGAAGACCAAACACAAACACACAGAGTTATGTACCTTTAGAGTATACATATGGTTATATGAGCTTATAGGAAGACCAAACACACACACACACACAGAGTTATGTACCTTTAGAGTATATATATGGTTATATGAGCTTTTGAGAAGACCAAACACAAACACACAGAGTTATGTACCTATAGAGTATACATATGGTTATATGACCTTATAGGAAGACAAAAGACAAACACGCAGTTATGTACCTTTAGAGTATACATATGGTTATATGAGCTTATAGGAAGACCAAACACAAACACACAGAGTTATGTACCTATAGAGTATACATATGGTTATATGACCTTATAGGAAGACAAAAGACAAACACACAGAGTTATGTACCTTTAGAGTATACATATGGTTATATGACCTTATAGGAAGACCAAACACAAACACCACGGTATGGTACCTAAACGGTTGCTATCAGAACAAAAAAGCGTTCATTGTTCCTATTCGTAAATTTTACGGCTGCTAGCTGAAATAAATATGTCACAGAAACTTGGAACACGAGGTAAAATTGTCAGAAAGTGACCCCAAATCAATTAAGTCTCAGAAAAATCCTTGTGCACGGAACAAGTAAGGAATTTGTTTAAATGATGCCAGATGTATTTTGTAGAACAACCTTCTTAAAAATTATAAAGTAAAATTTCTGAAGCTTGTACCCATTCTCAAGTCAATATAATCCCAGTTTTCATGCTTCTTTTCATCATTTATAGGTTAGATTGTGTTCATTTTGGTATGTAAAGATGTGTTAATCTATAATAATACGTAGATATAATTAAAAAAAAAAAAATAAAAGGTGTATTTTGAAAGAGATTTTTGGACAAAACACAAACTTCTTAAGTTACGGTTGCTATCAGAATCTTGGTATGTATGCACCGGCTATAAACTGAAAATAATGCACCAGCTGCTATTTGAAATATAAATTCTTTTCCATTGAGAAAGAGAAAATTTACAAACTTATGGCTGCACAGACCTTAAAAAAATATCAAAAACATCCAAACAGCAAGTGAAACACAATGTCTACATGTTCACTTGACATATACCGACTTAACTCGAATTTGTTGTGTTCTGTTAAATGAAATAACTTTTACAATCAGTATTTCAAAAGCCTTGGAAAGCTTTCCAAGCTAGAGTCTTTTGGGATTTTTGTAGCCTACATGTAAACTTAGACCTAAATGATATCTAGAAAATTTTCAGTATGACCTTTGAAGGTAGTGCATTGGTACTCTAGCATCAGAAAATACAATTAACACGCAATATTCAAACCATCAGATCTTGATTGGAGAGAATATCTGATTCCCCCTTTGGATTTTCTGAATTATTAAATTTATATAGAGAGAAGAGACACCCCCCCCCCACCCCACCCCCCACCGGGTTCAAAAGAAAAGGGTTTTTCAGACAGAGATGTCTTTTACTTTTCTGCTTGTCAATTTTCTTAAATTTTCTTCTATTCTCTTTTGAGTGGGCTTGGAACCACCACCCAACCCACCCCCCTTTTTGGAAAAAAAGTTGTATATCCAAATATGAAAAAGGCTAATATTCTATCCAGTAAGTAATATATAATTATGTACTTTTAAAGGAGAGAGCATTACAATATCACAATTATTAACATACATAAGTAGTCTTTTTCAAAATAGAAAAGGGGGAGGGTAATTGTGTGGGGGCAGGGGGCCTGGCACCTCCACTTTTTCCCAAACATAACTTTTACTATTGAAAATGTTCATTGAAAGGCCAGTTGCCCCCCCTCCCCCCACTTTTTGTTGCAGTATAGCCAAAGAAGGGTTCGATTTTAACATTCCCCCCCCCCCCCCTGAATAGGATTTTTGTCGGGTTTGGAGAATTTTTGTGTTTTGTTTGTTTGTTTTTTTTTGTTGATATCTTTTCTCCGGCTGCCCCCCTTTTCAAAATCCATACTGCGTCCCTGTCTAAAGAAACTATTTACCACAACTCATCGGATAAAAGTTTATATCCAACCAAAACACCATGAGAGATCCTTCATTTGTGAATTTGGCGTAATTACCCAGGTGAAATCTAATAAATTCGATAGAAGGTGCTCATAATTTAATGACTAACAATTTTATTGTGTCCAAGGAAGTTAGTAAATGTACAGGGTATTTGCAAACACCATTATTATACATGTAATTAGTCATATCATACATATAGAAATAAACTAGTTTGTAGTTATAGGATCAAAATCAAGGAAATATAAACATGGCCGTAGGAACCGGGGGGGGGGGGGGGGGGGCACGGGGGTCCATGCCCCCCCCCAATAATTTTGCCGATATATAGATTACTATAGTAAACATAGATACTATATGCTTGTGCCCCCTCAATAAAAACATCTAATGACCTTTTTTTTTTTTTTTTTCCCCTTTGTTTTTGCTTGTCAGGGAATTTTTGGTAGTGCCCCCTCAACTGTCAACTGAAAATGTATGGCTGTGCCCCGGCGCGCCCCCCCCCCCCCCCCCCCCAACTGAATTTGCTTCCTACGGGCCTGATAAACAAGTCTATTATTAAAATCAAGGTAATATAAACAAGTCTATTATTAAAAAGAATATAGAATGAACATTTCAAAATAGTTTTCTAAACTATTGCATAATAGATATAAATTAAGTACGTGTATTAAAGAAAAATTGAAAAATTCAGACATTTCCAATAGAAACCGGTGTTGTTTTCTAATAGTAGCCATAACATAAGTTCCCCCGAATAAAAATGCTTTTGTTTTTAAGAAACCGATTAAGATGGGTAATTGTATAAAATAATCAATACTTTTTAAAAATATGCACCGATCTGTCAATTCATTTTTATCAAATATCTAAACATTTCGATGCTAATTAGATATATTTCTTATGTGCATGTAAATGTGTCCTAGGCTTTCGACAGTTTTCGTCCTATACATCAGCAATCCTTTTATTTATTAAAAATTTAGAGATGTAAGTTAGTTTTAAAAGGTATGTTATGTTCCGTAAGAGTGAAATACTAAGCAGCTAATCTTTAATAATTGAATTATTGACCATTTTATTGAGCCAGCGAAGAAAAATACTTACCATTTCGTCCATTTTTTTCCAGTAGTAACCGCACAATTTTCGGATAGCAGTAATGTACGCGCATTTTTTCTGATAGCATCCATTTAGGTACTACACCGTGAACACACAGAGTTATGTACCTTTAGAGTATACATATGGTTATATGAGCTTGTAGGAAGACCAAACACAAACACACAGAGTTATGTACCTTGTATAGCATATGATGTAAACAGAGCAGCAGCCAAACTCCCAAGGTAACCTGTGGGGTGGTGGTGGGTCATCCTGCCTGCCTCAATGCTTACAGCAATTAAATCTGATAGTTCTGTCTCACTGTAATAGAAAATTCTCATTTTTGTCTGAACTGCCCACCTCTTTCTCGAAAAAATTCACTGACAAATTCTTTCTCAGATTTTCATATTAGTATTAAACTTTAACTATTCATAGAAAAAAATGGATGGTTAGCTTAATTTCTGAGTAAGGCAAGCAAAAGTCTTCAAACATGTGACACCATAAATTGGTTTAGCATTTGTGAGAACTCTTCTTCCTACATGTAAACATACAGTCAAAGGTAATCCAGTTACACTTTGACTTAGAATCAGTAAATGATTTAACTGACTTACAATGAGTATCTGAGACCAATACACATGATGTAGAATTAGATTTAACTAAATAAATGTGGAATAATTTAAGGAAGAGATTGCAAGGGTACATGAAAAAAATCCGCTCTATGAATTTTTCTCATTTTTACATATAATTTGTCTTACGTTAATGGTATCATAATATGAAAATTTCAACCATGGTCATCAGGGTTATAAGGAAGATATGGTTGCCATGGTAACCACCGTTTTTCAATATTTTGATATTTATGTAGTGAAATCTTAAGTATGCCATACAGGTATCAAAATTGAAACAAATTAAATAATTTTCACCAGATATTAAATAATATGCTTTATATTCATCGAAAATAAAAGTTGTATCGGAAACTATTGATAGATGTACTAATGCCACAGTTGCTTTGGGGAGTAGTCATTGTAAATTTGCAGTAATATTTTCACCCCAAGAGCAGTTTTCAACATCTTGACAAAAAATTGCTCAATGAATTTTCCTAAAATTAATATATTTTGTAACAATTATTATAAGTGACTTATGGTTAAAATATGAAGTGGGGTCAAGTGACTCCTCCCCCCCCCCTTTTCCGATTCCAAGTCACAGTGCAGAGAACTCGATGAATGTTCAGAGCATGAACAATTTGGCCCTTGGACCACTGTGCACTGGTTTAGAATGTATATATTTATATTAATATATTTATATTAATATAATAACGGAATGAATATTTTGGAGATGGGAAAATAAAAAAAAATATGCTTATTGTTGTTTTTTGTGTACATGATACTTTTATCATTCTGCTCTACATATAAAATGAGCAACCACCACAAGATTTTCAGAAAAAAAAGACCAATACACATGGCTCTCATGGTTGTAAATGATAATGAAGTGGAGATTTAACTTACATACCGTGGGTATCTGAGACCAATACACATGGCTCTCATGGCGGCACCACATCCTCCTCCCCTGTCAAAATTATTACAGTGTCTGTACATTGACTGGTTTACATTATATCTATGGCAATTTATAAATATTTTTTTTTACATAAATATTTTCAATTTGTTGTTATGGGTTGCAATGAAAAACAAAATGTATTTAAACATAGGCAACCAAAGATTAAGTAACCTGCCTCAACAAATGTAAGGCAAAACCTCATATGGTCTGGTAGTGTGCATCCATAGATACAACACTTATATATGTTTACAAACCTCTCATTAAAGTTTATTCTACATCCATCTCTCCAGTCGGGCCTGTCTGGTTTGAGCTCATGAACACTGCCCGTACACGTCAGCCCTGAGATACAAATAAGTAAATCATGTCTGATTAAACAAAACAATGTCTTCAACTCTTGCTAAAATAATAATTTTCAAGTTAATCCGTGCATTCCAGTATTTGGATTGTTACTGAATAATGTTCTCATATTTACAAAACACCTTCAATGAGAAATGGATATACATTATTAGTACTGGATACTATCTAGAATTAGAATTTTTGGTGGGACCCTATCTTCTGTCTATAGATGTAGTCACCAGATACATTGTACTTACAATTCTTAGTGCACATCTGTTACTGTAGGTCACCAAATGCTTGCTTCGCCTTACTTTTGTGAGATAGGTCTTAGGTCGTTATAAACACGACAAAATAATCACTAATTCTGGTTAGTGTTTTATATAATCTTTACAAATAAAAATATTTGTGCAAAAGAAATTTTGGTGAGCAGACTGTCACACATTATTATGCGAAAAAAAAGTTATCGCAAATAAAAAGTGAGTTATATTATTTCACATATATACAGAACAATTTGTCTTTAACATTGCCCCCTTTTAGATCAGATACCGTATATACTCGCCTATAAGTCGGTTTTTTGGGAGTTAAATTTTGGTCCAAAACTCTAGGTCCGACTTATAGGCGAGTCATAAAAAGATTAGTATTATCTGGACGTCGAAATGTAGTATGGATATATCATATCATCTATGCATTCTGAGATTATACATAATGTACAAGTATTTACATATTTTAATAACTTTATTTTTATTTAAAGTGTGCATTATGTATTTTTCTTAATGAATTAAAATTAAATATCGATGTCATTCATAAGAATATTAACTGAAACCAGGTTAAAACATCAGAGCTTTGGTTTGAAATTGTCAATTAATTCTAACAAAAAGTTGTACCGACTTATAAGCCGGTCAATAGCAAATCCCTCTAAAATAACCTCAAAAAATACAACCGACTTATAGGCGGACCCACTTATATACAGGTAAAATTGCAACGTATGTTTAACATATGTTGAACATACGTTGCAATTTTACCTGTGTAGGCGAGTATAATAATACTGTAATAAAATAACGCCCTAAAAACCCCTCCTAGACACTTTACCTGGTGCCAGATCTTTTTTTTTTTACATGATATAATAAAATTTAGGCCGACAAACCCCCCCTAGACACTGTCAACTAGTGCTGGATTTTTTTATTTTTTTTTTTTTAACATCAGATAATAATTTAAGGCCAATAAACCCCTCCTCCACACTGTACCTGATGCTGGATATCTTCTACATCAGATAATAAAATTAAGGCCGATAAACCCCTCCTACACACTGTACCTGGTGCTGGATCTCTTTTACATCAGATAATAAAATTAAGGTTGATAAACCCCTCCTCCACACTGTACCTGGTGCTGGATCTCTTTTACATCAGATAATAAAATTAAGGCTGATAAACCCCTCCTCCACACTGTACCTGGTGCTGGATCTCTTTTACATCAGATAATAAAATTAAGGTTGATAAACCCCTCCTCCACACTGTACCTGGTGCTGGATCTCTTTTACATCAGATAATAAAATTAAGATCAATAAACCCCTCCTCCACACTGCACCTGGTGCTGGATCTCTTTTACATCAGATAATAAAATTAAGATCAATAAACCCCTCCTAGACAATGTACCTTGTGCTGGATCTCTTTTACATCAGATAATAAAATTAAGGTTGATAAACCCCTCCTCCACACTGTACCTGATGCTGGATCTCTTTTACATCAGATAATAAAATTAAGATCAATAAACCCCTCCTACACACTGTACATGATGCTGGATCTCTTTTACATCAGATAATAAAATTAAGGCTGATAAACCCCTCCTACACACTGTACCTGATGCTGGATCTCTTTTACATCAGATAATAATATTAAGATCAATAAACCCCTCCTCCACACTGTACCTGATGCTGGATCTCTTTTACATCAGATAATAAAATTAAGGTTGATAAACCCCTCCTACACACTGTACCTGGTGCTGGATCTCTTTTACATCAGATAATAAAATTAAGGTTGATAAACCCTTCCTCCACACTGTACCTAGTGCTGGATCTCTTTTACATCAGATAATAAAATTAAGGCCCATAAACCCCTCCTACACACTGTACCTGGTGCTGCATCTCTTTTACATCAGATAATAAAATTAAGGTTGATAAACCCCTCCTCCACACTGTACCTAGTGCTGGATCTCTTTTACATCAGATAATAAAATTAAGGCCCATAAACCCCTCCTCCACACTGTACATGATGCTGGATCTCTTTTACATCAGATAATAAAATTAAGGCTGATAAACCCCTCCTACACACTGTACCTGATGCTGGATCTCTTTTACATCAGATAATAAAATTAAGATCAATAAACCCCTCCTCCACACTGTACCTGATGCTGGATCTCTTTTACATCAGATAATAAAATTAAGGTTGATAAACCCCTCCTACACACTGTACCTGGTGCTGGATCTCTTTTACATCAGATAATAAAAGTAAGGTTGATAAACCCTTCCTCCACACTGTACCTAGTGCTGGATCTATTTTACATCAGATAATAAAATTAAGGCCCATAAACCCCTCCTACACACTGTACCTGGTGCTGGATCTCTTTTACATCAGATAATAAAATTAAGGCTGATAACCCCTCCTCCACACTGTACCTGGTGCTGGATCTCTTTTACATCAGATAATAAAATTAAGATCAATAAACCCCTCCTCCACACTGCACCTGGTGCTGGATCTCTTTTACATCAGATAATAAAATTAAGATCAATAAACCCCTCCTAGACAATGTACCTTGTGCTGGATCTCTTTTACATCAGATAATAAAAGTAAGGTTGATAAACCCTTCCTCCACACTGTACCTAGTGCTGGATCTATTTTACATCAGATAATAAAATTAAGGCCCATAAACCCCTCCTACACACTGTACCTGGTGCTGGATCTCTTTTACATCAGATAATAAAATTAAGGCTGATAACCCCTCCTCCACACTGTACCTGGTGCTGGATCTCTTTTACATCAGATAATAAAATTAAGATCAATAAACCCCTCCTCCACACTGCACCTGGTGCTGGATCTCTTTTACATCAGATAATAAAATTAAGATCAATAAACCCCTCCTAGACAATGTACCTTGTGCTGGATCTCTTTTACATCAGATAATAAAATTAAGGTTGATAAACCCCTCCTCCACACTGTACCTGATGCTGGATCTCTTTTACATCAGATAATAAAATTAAGATCAATAAACCCCTCCTACACACTGTACATGATGCTGGATCTCTTTTACATCAGATAATAAAATTAAGGCTGATAAACCCCTCCTACACACTGTACCTGATGCTGGATCTCTTTTACATCAGATAATAAAATTAAGATCAATAAACCCCTCCTCCACACTGTACCTGATGCTGGATCTCTTTTACATCAGATAATAAAATTAAGGTTGATAAACCCCTCCTACACACTGTACCTGGTGCTGGATCTCTTTTACATCAGATAATAAAATTAAGGTTGATAAACCCTTCCTCCACACTGTACCTAGTGCTGGATCTCTTTTACATCAGATAATAAAATTAAGGCCCATAAACCCCTCCTACACACTGTACCTGGTGCTGCATCTCTTTTACATCAGATAATAAAATTAAGGTTGATAAACCCCTCCTCCACACTGTACCTAGTGCTGGATCTCTTTTACATCAGATAATAAAATTAAGGTTGATAAACCCCTCCTCCACACTGTACCTGATGCTGGATCTCTTTTACATCAGATAATAAAATTAAGATCAATAAACCCCTCCTACACACTGTACCTCTGCCAGATCTTTTTTTTTTTACATCAGATAATAAAATTAAGGTTGATAAACCCCTCCTAGACACTGTACCTGGTGCTGGATCTCTTTTACATCAGATAATAAAATTAAGGTTGATAAACCCCTCCTCCACACTGTACCTGATGCTGGATCTCTTTTACATCAGATAATAAAATTAAGGCCAATAAACCCCTCCTACACACTGTACCTGGTGCTGGATCTCTTTTACATCAGATAATAAAATTAAGATCAATAAACCCCTCCTACACACTGTACCTCTGCCAGATCTTTTTTTTTAACATCAGATAATAAAATTAAGGTTGATAAACCCCTCCTCCACACTGTACCTGATGCTGGATCTCTTTTACATCAGATAATAAAATTAAGGCCAATAAACCCCTCCTCCACACTGTACCTGGTGCTGGATCTCTTTTACATCAGATAATAAAATTAAGGCCGATAAACCCCTCCTCCACACTGTACCTGATGCTGGATCTCTTTTACATCAGATAATAAAATTAAGATCAATAAACCCCTCCTACACACTGTACCTCTGCCAGATCTTTTTTTTAACATCAGATAATAAAATTAAAGTTGATAAACCCCTCCTAGACACTGTACCTGGTGCTTGATCTCTTTTACATCAGATAATAAAATTAAGGCCGATAAACCCCTCCTCCACACTGTACCTGGTGCTGGATCTCTTTTACATCAGATAATAAAATTAAGGTTGATAAACCCCTCCTACACACTGTACCTAGTGCTGGATCTCTTTTAACATCAGATAATAAAATTAAGGTTGAAAAGCCCCTCCTAGACACTGTACCTGGTGCTGGATCTCTTTTACATCAGATAATAAAATTAAGGCCAATAAACCCCTCCTACACACTGTACATGATGCTGGATCTCTTTTACATCAGATAATAAAATTAAGGCTGATAAACCCCTCCTAGACACTGTACCTGGTGCTGGATCTCTTTTACATCAGATAATAAAATTAAGGTTGATAAACCCCTCCTCCACACTGTACCTGATGCTGGATCTCTTTTACATCAGATAATAAAATTAAGGCCGATAAACCCCTCCTCCACACTGTACCTGGTGCTGGATCTCTTTTACATCAGATAATAAAATTAAGGTTGATAAACCCCTCCTACACACTGTACCTAGTGCTGGATCTCTTTTAACATCAGATAATAAAATTAAGGTTGAAAAGCCCCTCCTAGACACTGTACCTGGTGCTGGATCTCTTTTACATCAGATAATAAAATTAAGGCCGATAAACCCCTCCTACACACTGTACCTAGTGCTGGATCTCTTTTACATCAGATAATAAAATTAAGGTTGAAAAGCCCCTCCTAGACACTGTACCTGGTGCTGGATCTCTTTTACATCAGATAATAAAATTAAGGCCCATAAACCCCTCCTACACACTGTACCTGGTGCTGGATGTCTTTTACATCAGATAATAAAATTAAGGTTGATAAACCCCTCCTCCACACTGTACCTGATGCTGGATCTCTTCTACATCAGATAATAAAATTAAGGCCGATAAACCCCTCCTCCACACTGTACCTGATGCTGGATCTCTTTTACATCAGATAATAAAATTAAGGACGATAAACCCCTCCTACACACTGTCCCTCTGCCAGATCTTTTTTTTTTTTTACATCAGATAATAAAATTAAGGCTGATAAACCCCTCCTACACACTGTACCTGGTGCTGGATCTCTTTTACATCAGATAATAAAATTAAGGCCGATAAGCCCCTCCTAGACAGTGTACCTTGTGCTGGATCTCTTTTACATCAGATAATAATATTAAGGCCGATAAACCCCTCCTAGACACTGTACCTGGTGCTGGATCTCTTTTACATCAGATAATAAAATTAAGGACGATAAACCCCTCCTACACACTGTACCTAGTGCTGGATCTCTTTTACATCAGATAATAAAATTAAGGTTGATAAACCACTCCTCCACACTGTACCTGATGCTGGATCTTTTTTACATCAGATAATAAAATTTAGGCTGATAAACCCCACCTAGACACTGTACCTGGTGCTGGATCTCTTTTAAATCAGATAATAAAATTAAGGCCGATAAACCCCACCTAGACACTGTACCTGGTGCTGGATGTCTTTTACATCAGATAATAAAACAAGAGGCCCAAGGGCCTTAACGGTCACCTGAGTATAATACAACAATTTAGAGGATCCATAGAGTAGAAAATGAACTGAAAGGTGAAGCTTTGTTGCCCAAAAGCAAGAAAAATAGGGTGATCAGGATCAACAAAATAATAAGTCTAGTATTCATTAACAGATCATAAATTAGGTTCTAATCTGTTCCCCATTTATCACTCTCAATATACAGTATATTAACAAACTATCAGTGCTTCTGAACTATTTTAATTCCTTGTTGAAATCTCTAACATTGGCCTCTCTTGCATGGTCTTTGATGAACATTTAATAAGAAAAGTTATTTTTGTCTCATTTTTATTTATCTATTACTTACAAGTCTACCTGATCATTAAAACTATGAAAGTACTTTTTGTATTATACAATAAAAATTCTTGCATAATTCTCTTATTCTATTAACCTTTGAAGTACAATATTTACAGTGTTTAATTATCACAAGTAAATGGCAAAGGGGAATAACTCCTCTCAGTAGAATACAAATTAATAGAGCCCTGGCCTGGACCAGAACACTTGACCAAATGGTCCTGATGTTCAAAAATCTGGTAAAAATACCCTTCCTTATTAAAACTTTTACTCTTTTTGCCTCTGATATGCCCAGGTGCAGAGAAGATTTTTAAAGCAGTAATGCATTTTCACTATATAATAAAAAGAGCCCCGCCTTAACATCAGAACCTCTGATCCAGGGGTCATGAAATTCACAATTTTGGAAGAGGCATCCTTGCTTATCATAACCATGTATTTGTTTAAATAATACCCAAGAGAAGAGAAGAAGATTTTTAAAGAAATAATGCACTTTCACTATATGATCTATATAGCCCTGCCCTAGCACCAGAACCCCTGACCCTGGGGTCATGAATTTCACAATTCTGGTAGAGTCACCCTTGCTTATCATAACTATGTATTCTATTTGTTTCAATAATACCCAGGAGTAGAGAAGAAGATTTTCAAAGAAATAATGCACTTTCACTATATGATCTATATAGCCCTGCCCTAGCACCAGAACCCCTGACCCTGGGGCTATGAATTTCACAATTCTGGTAGAGTCACCCTTGCTTATCATAACTATGTATTCAATTTGTTTCAATAATACCCAGGAGTAGAGAAGAAGATTTTCAAAGAAATAATGCACTTTCACTATATGATCTATATAGCCCCGCCCAAGCACCAGAACCCCTGACCCTGGGGTCATGAATTTCACAACTTTGGTAGAGTCACCCTTGCTTATCATAACTATGTATTCAATTTGTTTCAATAATACCCAGGAGTAGAGAAGAAGGTTTTCAAAGAAATAATGCACTTTCACTATATGATCTATATACCCCCCCCCCCCCTTCCTAGCACCAGAACCCCTGACCCTGGGGTCATGAATTTCACAATTTTGGTAGAATCACCCTTGCTTATCATAACTATGTATTCAATTTGTTTCAATAATACCCAGGAGTAGAGAAGAAGATTTTCAAAGAAATAATGCACTTTTACTATATGATCTATATAGCCCCGCCCTAGCACCAGAACCCCTGACCCTGGGGTCATGAATTTCACAATTCTGGTAGAGTCACCCTTGCTTATCATAACTATGTATTCAATTTGTTTCAATAATACCCAGGAGTAGAGAAGAAGATTTTCAAAGAAATAATGCACTTTCACTATATGATCTATATAGCCCTGCCCTAGCACCAGAGCCTCTAACCCTGGGGCCATGAATTTCACAATTTTGGTAAGGGCTTAATGCTTATTACAATCATGCCAACAGTTTGACTGCTTGATGTCCAGGAGCAAAGAAGAAGATTTTTAAAGATTGCATTAATTTTGATGGTTTTGGCCCGACCCCTCAGGCCCCTGGGGGGCAGGGGCCACGAATTTCAAAATTTTGGTCCCCTTCACCCATAGATATGCCAAAATTGGTTGAAATTCGTTTGCTGGTTCCAGAGAAGAAGCTGAAAATGTTCAAAAGTTTACGACCGACGAACGAAGCACGACGACGGACAAAAATAGATAGCAATAGGTCACCTGAGTGACTCAGGTGACCTAATTAAGGCCAATAAACCCCTCCTCCACACTGTACCTGGTGCTGGATCTCTTTTACATCAGATAATAAAATTAAGATCGATAAACCTCTCCTCCACACTGTACCTTGTGCTGGATCTCTTTTACATCAGATAATAAAATTAAGGCTGATAAACCCCTCCTACACACTGTACCTGGTGCTGGATGTCTTTTACATCAGATAATAAAATTAAGGCCAATAAACCCCTCCTCCACACTGTACCTTGTGCCAGATCTCTTTTACATCAGATAATAAAATTAAGGCCGAAAAACCCCTCCTACACACTGTACCTTGTGCCAGATCTTTTTTTTTATATCAGATAATAAAATTAAGGCCGATAAACCCCTCCTAGACACTGTACCTGGTGCTGGATCTCTTTTACATCAGATAATAAAATTAAGGTTGATAAACCCCTCCTACACACTGTATCTGTTGCTGGATCTCTTTTACATCAGATAATAAAATTAAGGTTGAAAAGCCCCTCCTAGACACTGTACCTGGTGCTGGATCTCTTTTTATTACATCAGATAATAAAATTAAGGTTGATAACCCCCTCCTGGACGCTGTACCTGTTGCTGGATCTCTTTTACATCAGATAATAAAATTAAGGTTGATAAAACCCTCCTAGACACTGTACCTTGTGCTGGATCTCTTTTACATCAGATAATAAAATTAAGGCTGATAAACCCCTCCTAGACACAGTACCTGGTGCCCGGTCTCTCATATCCTTCATGCACAGTTTGTAGTTTCTAGCAATTGCCTTAAATAGTTCATCTTTTCTGGATTTTTTACATGTGGTCAGGGCTGCAGAAAATTATAAATACAACTGTTACAAATATTTCTATTGTATTTCTGTCTTTATACATTGTATAATTTAACTTTAAATGAACTATATACTGTGTTTCTAGAATATAATCATGGTTCATGAGTCAGATCATTTGTCAGCAGGTTAAGTGTTCAATTTTCTCTCTGTAGATCTAACACATTGTAGCATGTGGTATTTTGCATAATAAGATAAGTGTTGTTTTGTTTTGTTTTTTTTTTTGAAAGAATTACCACTTGATCAAATGTATGCATGCAAAACCTGAATAATTTAAAAAAAATAAATATATATATATAGAGATTGTTAATTCTTACATAATTGTTTGCTCAACATACTTAATTACAATCTCTATCTAATGTACTACCGTTTACAAACGTCCATTACATATCAAACTGGCGTTACGTACAGAAGTTGATTACGTTTTTCAAGGTATTTTTTAATGATCGAAATTCAAACTTAGCGTCTGTAGAAAAAAATAATATTGATAATCATGAAGATGGCTTGTGTTTACAAATGTTTTTAATACTTTGTTTGATTAGTTTGCAGTGTTCAGTTAATTTTATAGTAACCATGTGTAATGAATATACGGGGAATATACAGAGTTAGATTATATTTGAACATTTTCAATGATGATGCTGAACAGTTCTGTCATATCATATAAGCTTCAATAATTATAATATATGACAAAATAAAACAACAGTAGATCAAAATTTGCTCAACCCATGAAGTCACATGTCAAAGAGAAGGTGAATTAAAAAAGGAGGTCTCGGCATAAAATTGGCCATCCATTTTTTTTAATTAATCAATTACTGCTTTTAAAACAATTAACCAAAATATAATTTAAAAGTTTTTTTTTCTTTGCTGTCACATTTGAAACAAGAATGTGCATATATACATGCTTATAGAGAGAGTGCTTTTTGATATGTGATTCAATTATCCGGACGATTCATTTATCTGGACGATTTCGTTGGGGACAGAGGCGTCCGGATAAACGAGGCGCCACTGTATATAAATTAAAAATCTGGCCGTAATGATTTTTGTTAAAATAAGCCTCTGTAACAATAGTTGAATCCACACTTTTAAAAATCTTCTTCTCAAGAACAACTGGCCCAAAAAAGTTGAAACTTTCAGGAAACCTTCATTACATAGTGTAGATTCAAGTTTGTTCAAATCATGATCCCTGAGGGTAGGGTGGGGCCACAATGGGGGATCAAAGTTTTATACAGGAATATATAGGAAAAACTTTAAAAATCTTCTTCTAAAGAACAGCAAGGTCATGATTAGTCATACTGATATGGAAGCATCCTCAGGTAGTGTAGATTCAAGTTGTTCAAATCATGACCCCCGGGGGCAGGGTGGGGTCACAATGAGGGATCAAAGTTTTTCATAGAAATATATAGGAAAAAGTCTTTAAAAATCTTCTTCTCAAGAACAGCAAAGCTTTGTTTAGTCATATTGATATGTAAGCATCCTTAGGTAGTGTAGATTCAAGTCTGTTTAAGTCATGACCCCTGGGGTAGGGTGTGGCCACAATGGGGGATCAAAGTTTTACTTTGACTTAATGATAGATTGCATTTGCTAACAAGGTCATTGTATCGACCAAAGAACTTATGAAATGATGACTTTAAACGAGACTCTTGATATTCTTGTTTCATCAACTTGTTTATCAATAACTTACCTCATTTTAGAAATTGTTCATACATAGAACATTCTCTTGCATATCGAATCAACTGAGAGATATACACCCCATTTGCAGGTGATAAGGGTATATTGCTGCATAAGTAAGGGAAGTTGACAATTGAAAAGTTAAAGTCATCACGTTTATCATAAAGCTTTGTTGTTAGATTATCATTAATGTCTTTTTCTAGTGAAATATCCAAATATGAAACAGATGTGTCAGACTCTGTGGTATCTTTTATTTCAAGCTCACAGGGATATATTGTGTCGACACATGAATGGAAAAAACTATTGTTTAGTTAATTGATAATACGTCATTAATATACCTAAATGTCAAATTGAAGGCCACAGCAAGAGATTTCTTTTTCTCATGTATAAGATTTTGAATAAATTCTGCTTCATATGAATACAAAAATAGGTCTGCTAACAACAGAGCTCAATTGGTACCCATGGGAATTCCAACAGACTGTTTGAAGACTCTCCAAAAACCACATAGATATTGCCAATCAGAAACTCAAACATCTTTTTAATATCAACTTCAGAGTTGTGTGTACAATCAGAATGTTTTTAACAAAATAATTTTGCAAAGGACCAATGACAAGGTAAGTAAATTTACGAGTTTCATTTTTATTGAAAAAGCAAATGTTATGGCCAAGGTTAAAGTTGGGCAATTTTTGGGGTAAGTTTGGTAATTTTTGGTAGAAGTGGGTCAAACTCCAAGATCAACATCAAGGTTAAATATGTTGGTATCAAAAGGAATGTCTTGTCACAAGGAATACAATATGAAAGCCATAGTCCCAACCAATCAAAAGTTATAGGCAAGGTTAAAGTTTTTGCAGACAAACAGAAAAACAGATGGCCGAACAGGGCAAAAACTGTATACAGTTAAACTTCGGTATCTCGAACACTGATATCTCGAATACCATGGATATGTCCAAGTGATTTGGAAGTCCCAACTACTAATTCTTTAAGTATTGTACACTCGATATCTCGAATCATCAGATATCTCGAAATTTTTTCTCTGTCTCATCAAGTTTGAGATAACGAGGTTTGACTGTACCCCAAATCTTCAACAGGGGGGCACAAAAAAAAAAAAAATAAATAAAAAAGTAAAAATCAACCATTTATTTCAAAAAGAAGCTAGTTAAAGAAACCTTACCCTCAGATGTCGCTAAATGCATGACAGTGTCATCACTGACTATCCACTTTGGTGCTAAAAAAAAAAAATGTACAATGCAAATTGATTTACAGAAATATTTAAAAATCATTTTGAAATTTATGACAAAAGTTACTCAAAGCCCTGATTTAAAAAAAAAAGATCAGCAAAATTGTTGATCAAGCTGTATGCTAATTTTAAAATTTTATACCAAATGCAATCAATAACTTAATATAAAAAGTATTATCTTACGTTTCACTTTAATAGCGTTTAATCCTCCTAATGCATTTAGCTCCTTTATAATTTCTTTTCCGTGATGACAAAACTCCCAGGAGCCATTCTTATACCCCAGAGCATCTCCAGCCGCACTCAGGACCATAGCGGCCTCATAGCGCAGGGGCAAGGAAACCATGTCTGGATTTGATCTTTTCTTCTACTAAATTTAATTATAGTTTCCTGTTTTGGCCAGTGCACAAAAACGGGTTCTGTGAATTCATATAAATATTAGATACAGAAAGTAAATTCAAACCCTGATTTAAAGTAATCAAGTAAAATCAATATAAATTACAAACCAAAAATAATGAAATCGTCTTAGTCTTACATTGTTGACAACAGTCAGAAATACAGAAATAGCCATGACACAAAACGTAAACAAAGTAACTTTCCTTTTCACTTAAAAGCGAAAGTATGTCAAATACGAAATAATATTAAACGAATTAACAAGAATCTATTACACCGGAACAATATGTGCAAGAAACGAAAAGGCAAAAATTTTCTGTATCTTTTATTAATTATGCTTACTTTTAGCTTCTGTAACTGTGGATGGACAGAAGATGGAGGGTATATTGGACTCTATCCTGGCGGGTGCACCGTAAAAAGGTATCTCCCACCACGAAATCTACATACACTGTAACTTATAGTAGTGTAGTAAACGCAGGAGTTCGCAATTTTATCAGTAAAGTCAATAGAAATCACTCGCTAACGCATAGCTCATGGCTTGGTCAATCGAGTGATTTCTATTGACTTTATTGATAAAATTGCGAACTCCTGTGGTAGTAAAAATGCATATGTAAATATAGTTAGAATATTCTAACTGTGTCTCGGGACAGGCCCTCACCACAGTTAGAATACGTCCCATATACTTGCAATGTAGCAAATCGGAGTGGATCCACTCCGAAATGATTCTGAAGAATACAAAATGAGTTGCACTGAAAATAACTACCAAATTAATCATAACAAACCTTTTTGAGATTGTATATGCCTTTTAACCTAAAAATTAATCCATATATATACGAAAATTCAACTCATTTTCTCAACGTTTTTTCCTCGCTTCAAATTTAACGCCATGTTGACATTCGGAACTCTCTGGATTCTTCATAGAAAATGCACAGAGTTCGAGTTATCGCCCGTGTTTATTTTGCTACATTGCGAATACACGGAACGAATTCTATCGTTAAACCGGGTCCGTAGGACAATATCATTTTAACGATAGAACATTCTATCTAATGTAAATATTACAATATACTTAAATATTATTAATATGTAATCATTCTGAAATAATTGTATATGCCCCCTGAGGACCCTTGACTGGTGAATAAACATATATATATATATATATATGAATGTCAGACACCTCGGCCCATTGACATTTCGGTCCAATGACATCTTGGCTCAGACGGGTTGGCCCAAGATTTAAGACAGCTCGGCCCATACATAAGACACCTCAGCCCAAGCAAAATTTTACCATGAAATATATATTTCCAATTTTTGGACTTGAATTAAAATGTTTATTGAAAAAAGTATATGAATAAACTATCAAGATTTTTTTTAAAAGATCTTCCATGAACACATTGATGATATTCAAAGAATGAGAAGACAATGCTATTAATTAAAGTGCTAATTGATAAACAAACAAAATGCCGCGGCGCATCCTTTAGAGTGTCAAGTGTTTGTTTTATTGGTGACAACAGGGGGTTAATTATGAGCAGACTAAATCGGGAGACAGTAATTAAATACATTTAGATCCATCGAATATTTTCTCATTTATTTCTTAAGAAAAACATTTCCCTTCCTAAATTTGTTATCGTCGCTTATAACTAGTTTGAGTCCATTTTTTTTCCCAGGCTACTTGTATCAAAGCAAGTACATGACCAATCTCCTATGTATGAGCCAATATGGTAAAATGTGGTACTTAACACGTCTTTTCCTCTTTTTTTTGGCTAATACAAGATTAACGCGCGCAACCGTGATACAGCAGAATTTTTTTTTTTACATTTTCCACAAGAAATAGTTGTAATTGAAAGATTGATCTAATCAAGTTCACTTGGAAAAATAAAACGATTATATGTATCAAAAACCCCCATTTTTTATTATTTTTAAAAAATTTTTAATCGTCAGAAAGAATAATAACACCAATGATAACATCAATTCAAACGCTGGGTTAATCTGTTCATATTTTTCCATCGTAAAATTTTGTTTGGGCCGAGGTGTCTTTTATATGGGCCGACGTGTTACCAATCTTGGGCCGACCTGTCAGGGCTGAGATGTCAAGTGTGACGGGCCAAGGTGTCATTGGGCCAAGATGTCTGTCTACCATATATATATATATTATACATGTATATATTCACTATGTCCTTTCACCCTGACCTCATAGTCACCCACCCGTGTCAGCACGCTTACCAGTCAGTCGTGTCCTACCAGTCAACCCTTTCACCATGTTCTTTACCTATTCTTATATGTATTGTATGTACTTGTATTTCTCCAACATGTAAACCTGGGTGTTTTGTTGTCACCTAATACAGGTATGCAACATTTAAGTAAAGTCCCCTATTTTACTACAGTTGGCACAGACAGAGGCACTTGTTTTCAGGATGGCGTGTTTTGTATATTGTGTGTTTTTCTATGTCTGTCTGAATACACTCATTAAAATAAAAATCAGGCTAAATTAGCATTTTATTTCATGTTTCTGACTCTGTGTATAAAAAGACAAAAGGTTCGACAGTTGCCATCTCGAATTCCAGGGGTGCCTCCGTTCACACTTGATTTTATTCAAAAAATCAATTTCTACCCTTTTTCTACTAGTTTCAGGTGAGATCTAGCTTTGTAAATGATTGAATAACTCCCTTCAAATATCTGCTGATTTGTACTTGCCATATAAAACATGCAGTAAACCAAAATGTCCTCGATACCTAGCACTGAAACTGAAATAGATGGAAGTAACGATTTCTAACTTTGTAAAGTGTAGAGGCATTGCAGAATTGCATGGAAAGTCTAGAGAGGTCATATTTCTGTTATTTTTAACTGTATTTTGTAAGCTGGACATGAGTATTGTCACATTTAGCACAGTATCCAGAAGTGTAGATTAAAAACTGGTTGTTACAGCTGATGGGTTGATTAACATAGTCTGCAGGCCAGTATCCTATCTGCTGTAAACTGTTTGAGATACTGTTTGGGAAGAAGGACTGTTTATAAACTAGAGTCTTTAAATATGGTACCAAGAATCAGTAGATATGTCCTTTGGCTGCAGACATCATTGAATTTAGCTTGATGGAATAGCCAGAGGCAGTGCACTTTCCTGTATATCATTACAGCTTTGCATCTGGCTCATAGTTCCTCCAAAGATGTCCACTGGAGAGTTTCTAGAACTGATGTTAAACAGCTAGTTTGTGAGCAGTTTTGAGCTGCCCTAGCTTCTGGATGTTGTGAGCTGTATGCAGGTTATGCGGGTCCCAAACAGTACGTGCATACCACTGAAGGTCTTACTAGCATAGTACAGCATGTTGCTTTGCAACTTCTTATGCAGGCTGTAAGTTGCATTGTATAAAAGCATATAGGTGGAACTGGCTTTCTTTGTGATGGTTTCTATGTGTTCATTCCAACTGAGGCTCTTGTGGATGCTAACCCCAACATATTTGCAGAGTCCACTACATTTACTTCTAACCTAAGGCAGTGGATGTTGAAAGAGCTGATGTCAGACTTAGGGGTTTTTTTTAACTCACAGTTGTTGGCATTTGCTGTTGTGGAACTCCGTCTGCCAGTCTGTTTCCTACTGTAGTAAACTATTCAGTCTTTTTGAAGATAAGTTATATTATTTGAGTAGATCTTGGCAGAGGACACAATCATTAGTCAGCAGTCAAACATTGGAATGATGGACATATTCTGGTAGATCGTTGATAAAGAGGAAGAACATCAGTGGTCTGAACATGCTCCCTTAAGGCATTCCTGACTGGACAGTGGCATTGCTGGAGCTCTTCTCATCTACTTACACTCCCTGGATCCTGCCTTTAAGGAAGTTCTTGGCCCAGTCCAGTTAGACCCTCTGAACTCATAATAGTGAAGTCTCTCAAGGGGATCAAATGCTTTGGAAAAATCTCAAAGTATAAGGTCTGTCCAGTCACTGAGATCCATATTTTGGTTAGGTCCTGAACTGTCAGGATCAACTAGGACTAGCATGATCTGTTTTTCCAGAATCCATGTTGAGCATCAGTAATTCATGCATCTCTAGGAGTTTCGAAATGTGCTGCTGCATATTAAGTGCTCAAGGACCGTACATGTAACTAAAACAGCCAGTAGTTAGCAACTTAGCTGCTTAAGACTTTTTCCCTTTGTTAAGGATTGGTACTATATTAGCTTCTTTCCAGTTTGATGGCAACTTCCCTTGCATGATGAGGCCTGGAAGAGTGTTGTTAAGATAGGAGCTAGGTGGACTGCTTGCTCGTTAAAAAGACAAGTTTGTGTTTCGTCTTGTCCAGCTGCCATATGGATGTTATTAAATAAGGTTGTCTAACAGTTTACGAACCCCATTTTCTGTCACTGTGATGTTATTCGTGGTAGGATGACTTTGATGTTTGCTTGGGATGATATTCACATCTTCGTTGCCATTGAAGACTCATGATGAGAATTGTCTATTCAAGATGTTTGCCTTTAATTCACTATCTAAATATGTTAGGCCATCTACCTCCTTAAGTGGTGCAACTCTGATTCGCATCTTTTTGCTCTTTATAAATCTTGGCTTACTTGTCAGATCTGATCTTATCATATCCTCTGTGTAGTACTTATAGGACTTCTTATGCTCTCTTTATAAGTCTGTGTAGTTCTTTTAGGACTTCTTATGCTCTCTTTAAGGTGGAAGTAAATACTTCACACTGTTAGGGGTATTTTAGTGTCATCCTGCAAACATCAGGTATTTTAGTGTCAGTCTGGCTTTCAAAGTGAAAGGTTGTTACTTTCAGTTCTTAAAATTTTTTCAAACCTTACATCACCCCATCAAAATACATCATATTCTATGACAGAGTTTTACTTATTAAAAATTAAGATGACTTGGAACAATTCTTACAGAATGCTGGTGGGAAATAAAGGACATTAAACATAGTATCCCTATGTTTCTTAAAGTTTTTTGTGTAGTTTTAATTTTTAGCACAGTAGTAGCTTGTCATATTCTTATCTTTTTCATTTGGTATTGTACTAGAGCTCCAATGATGACAATGGTGCACTGAGCTACATTATAATCAGTCTTCACCTAAAATGGGTCTGATTTATGACCACCTTACTTTGTTCTTGCTCTCTCCATTAACAATTAATTCAACAATTAATTTCTACTTTTTATTAATATTTAGAAATCTTCCACATGTATACCCATTGTTACAAGCCACAGCCCAAAGTGTAGGATCCTCTCCCATTCTGGAGAGAGTTATAGCTTGAGATGATGTTTACTCTCTTCCATTCAGTTTCTCTTCCATTCCAAATTCACATTGAAGGTATGTGGTTTCAGTTTCCCTTCTAGCTTCTTTTCTCTTCTTTGTAATACAAAACCATGTTACTGGTATGCTTGTCTGAGCAAGAACATGTTAACTCACTATGGCCTACATATATTAGCTTGTGCCATTTTCTGTTTCCTTAGTTCTTTATTCTTATGGAAAATTCAAAGTAAGAATTTTATTGAGTTAATCAATAATTATTCCACCAATACTTGTGTTCTTACACCATTTTATAATTTGTGGGATTGTTAAGTTTTCAGTTTAAATTCTTGATATGATCAGTATGTTCTATTTGTTTTAGTGACTGCCCAATGGATGAGAGATGCATGCATTCAGTAGAGGAGACAGTTTGTCCTAGTGATCATCAAAATTTATGCAGGTGTACTTTAGGTTTGTATTATCATATAGATTAAGATTTAAGGTGGATAGACCCTCATGTAAGAGAGGTAACTCTCACTGGGATAATGACATTCCTTTTAAAAAAGAAAAGATCAATTTACATGTAAAAGGCCATTTCTGTCAAACTTTGCACAAAAGGTCATTCTGAAATTGCCCACATTTCAAATATAATCTAGATGTCTTTTCAAAAGTCATGATCATTAAAGAAAAATTTTATGTAAGTTAACAGAGGGCTTATAACTGATTTACTCCATGTACAACTTCATCTCTCTCTCTCAGACAGAAAAAAATCTTGTTTTGGATATAGAAAATGTATAATATTTCAACATATGTGTTAATGTTTATAAGGTTTAATTAACGTTAATAAAAATAATAATAATCAGTTGGAGAATAATCTTAAACATCACTGATCTGAAGCTTATTTTTATCCTGGAAAGAGTAGTCTGAAGGACAGGTGATACAAACCTGTACATGCTTCACAATAAATGTAAAAATCATTTTAATAAAAACAAAAGCCAAAAATAAGGTAATTGTCAGAAGAATCCAGAACAGTATTTTTGGAAATGTGTTATTTATTGTTATTATAGAAAAAAAAAACCTAGACTTTAGTACTTTTTTTCCTATTAGGTTGTGAGATTGATAATCTAATTGTCCGTTATGAACAGTGGCGACCCATTCCAGGAAAAGGATTCTGCAAGTGTATCAATTCTTTAACAAATGAAGTAAGTACATATGTAGTGATATTCAACACAAAGAAATTATAAATAAAATAGATATTGAAAGTTTATAAATGTAATGCAGTCCTTTAAAATCAGCATACATGTACATGTACGCTAGTTTTTCAATGTTTATATGCATTTTCTATTTGAAAAAAAACAAAACAAAACTTCAATGTATTTTCATTTTAATACTTTCAATATATATGGCAATATGGCAAATATTTCACTTAGATTTAAGTTGGCAATTTGTTTTATTTTTTGATTATGTATAATTTTTAGGTCACCTGAGTCATTCAGGTGACCTATTCTGTCAGTTTTTGTCCCTCCATTTGAGCATTTTCAGCTTCTTCTCTAGAACCACTGAACAATTTCAACCAAATGGCACATGGCATCTATGGGTAAAAGGGAACAAAAATTATGAAGCAGCTACTCATCACAGATGATTGAAATTTTAGCACACTCTTTGTTTAGGCATGCCATATGGTGGGATTCATTTTTAGCTCACCTGAGCTGAAAGCTCAAGTGAGCTTTTCTGATCACCCATTGTCCATCCGTCCGTCTGTAAACTTTTCACATTTTCAACTTCTTCTCAAGAACCACTGGGCCAATTTTAACCAAACTTTGTACAAAGCATCCTTGGGTGAAGGGGAGTTTAAATTCTTAAAATGAAGGGCCAAGTCCCCTTCAAAGGGGAGATAATCAAGAAAATACAAAAATTGGGTGGGGTCATTAAAAAATCTTCTTCTCAAGAACCACTGGGCCAGAAAAGCTGAAAATTATGTGAAAGCATCCTGGGGTAGTGTAGATTCTAAACTTTTCAAATCATGACCCCCAGGGGTAGGGCGGGGCCACAGTAGGGAATCCAAGTTTTACATTGAAATATGTAGTAAAAATCTTTATAAATCTTCCTCTCAAGAACCACTAGGCCAGAAAAGCTGAAACTTATGTGGAAGCATTCTGGGGTAGTGTAGATTCTAAATTGTTCAAATCATGACCACTGGGAGTAGGGTGGGGCCACAATAGGGAATCCCAAGTTTTACATTGAAATATGCAGAAAAAATCTTTAAAAATCTTCTTCTCAAGAACCACTGGGCCAGAAAAGCTGAAACTTATGTGGAAGCATCCTGGGATAGTGTAAATTCTAATTGTTCAAATCATGACCCCTGGGGGTAGGGCAGGGCCACTATAAGTACTACAAGGGGGGGGGGGGAGGGAGAAATCAGCTGAAAAACAGCAAGGCCAAAGTTACTCAGGTAAGCATTGTGGCCCATGGGCCTCTTGTTCCAATCTGATGTCAACTTCATGTTCATCCGTGTGTCTGTCCGTAACAAATTTTCGTCACAGTTTTCTCAGCAACTACTCGTCACAGATCCTTGAAATTTTAGCACACTCTTTGTTTAGGCATGTCATACTGTGGGATTCATTGATTCCATTTTGTATGAATCCGATGTCAACTTCCTGTTTATCCGTGCGTCTGTCCATTACAAATTTTTGTCAGTTTTCTCAGCAACTGCTCAGTAGATTCTTGAAATTTTAGCACACTCTTTGTTTAGGCATGCCATATGGTGTCAACTTCCTGTTTATCCATCACGTCTGTCTGTAACAAATTTTCATCGCAGTTTTCTCAGCAACTGCTCAGAGCAGATGCTTGAAATTTTAGCACACTCTTTGTTTAGGCGTGCCAAATGGTGGGATTCATTTTTGTATGAATTTGATGTCAACATGAGAGTGTATATTCACATCAGAGCAGGGGTATTACGAGTGAGCATTTGCTCACAGACTTATTGTTAATCACTGTAAATAATGTAATTGATTGGTGAATTGAATAAAAGAATTATACAAGAATTTTTAATATATAATACAAAAATGTTCTTTCATAGTTTTTTTTATGGTCAGGTAGATGTAAATAAAAGATAAATAAAAATGAGACAAAAACACCTTATCTTTGTATATTAAATGTTCTTCAAAGACCAAGAAAAGCTAATGTAATGTGCTTAAGCAATACTGATTTGTTTAAATCTCTATGATGATAGTGACAAATGGGGGTGTATTAGTACTGGCAAATACAGGCAAGGAAATAGATCTGCTTAATATAATTTGTTATGAGCACTAGACTAATTTGTTGATCCCTGACCATTCCTTTTGGGCATTATATCTTCATCTATCAGTGTTTGTTTTATTTTATACTTCTTTGGATCCTTTCAGTGTTTATATTATACTCAGGTGACTATTAAGACCTTTGGGCCTCTTGTACATTCATTTCTAGATGTTTACATCTGAATGCAAATATTGCCAAGTGAAAGGTCAAGCACCTAATGTGCATGTCAGTTTACCATGGCTGTCATTGTATCTGGCGTCAGTGGGCGGGGATTGTGGAAATAAACATGGAATGCCTCTTGTATTTCATATCTATTAGACAGCATGTTTGATGTATATTTTTTCACATATAATCTTGCCCTAATTTAAATGTAAGGAATCACTTTCTAGTTTGTTGGGTATGCCAGGGATATTAACAGCAGTTGGAAACATGGGATAATTTATGCAGGAGGGGCTTTACCCATTATGTAAATTATTCCATGTTTCCATCTGTTGTTTATGCCCTAGCATACCAACAAACTAGACAGTGACTCCTTAAATATATTTTAGTGACTATGAATCAATTCTGATGGGTATTTGTAAACATATGTACATGTATAAAATTCAGTGAATGTTTTTTTTTTTTTCAGTCAGACTGTGTGGAGCACTTAGACTTATGAATGAGACAGATGAAATAAAGAGATGATGAACATTTTCATGAAGTTTAAACTTAAAAGATTCTCATAAATGCTGATGTTGAGCAAGTTTTTTTTTTTTTTTTTTATTTCATATGTGTGCTCTAATGAGACAATACTTACACATCTTCAATAATCCATTTTATCAAAATTTTAAAGTTTGAACTATATTACTTAAAAAATATTAAGGTCACAATGAACCAGGTACAACAACATTATTTTCTGGTTTCTACATCTTTTTACTGTTAACTTAATAGAAAGAAAATGATACGTTACAGTTATGTATTTGTGCCTTTGCACTAATATTTGATGCATTATACAGTAAAACACGCTTATAGCTAACACACTTATAACGAATTACAACAAAATAATTTTCATTCCCTGTTACTTTGAAATATATTGTAAACTTAACGGATATGACAAATTACACTTATAACGAAGCAAAATCGTCCATCCCTGGAACTTCGTTAGAAGCGTGTTTTACAATTTTCTACATTATAAATTAACTATTCAGATAAAAAAAAATGCAGCTTCTTAATGTTTTGAATATGAATTTTTGTTGAATGTTATTTATATTTTAACATTATTATTTATTTTTTTAATTATATTTTTCTCTTCTTATTTACATAATTATACACACACACACCATATATATAAAAGATTTTTTAGGGTTCCAGGAAATTTGTGCAATTAATATGAAAATATTTACATTTCCAAGTATTTTTCCTTAGGATTCTTTGCAAATTAGAAGGCTGTTCATTTTCCCATGAACTACCATGGATGAGCATGAATATATCCATTGTTACATCATAATACTGTACATGACGTCAAAACTATAGTGCAAACTGTTTTGCTTTAAAAACGACAATTGAATGGCGTTATTTGTGGTAACTCATCAGAAAATAATGTAAATATAAGAAATGAATTTAATTTTTGAAAATTCATGAGGTACATGAACTACAACGCTTCACGCCGGCATATTTATCATGAAGCGCTAGCGCGCTTCATGAAATATGCTGGCGTGAAGCGTCGTAGTTCATGTCCTCATGAATCTTCAAAAATTAAATTCATTTCTTAAATATATAATGATTTATTTTGTATAATGTACATGTTATTTTCTCTGCATTGCTTTCTTTTTTTTTTTTTACTGTTATTAGTTTGGTGTATTAATGTTTAATAAAACTTAATATGTAAACATACATGTGACTTTTATTTATTTTTGATTGAATGCAAAGGTAGACTTTGTCTTTTTACATGCCCTGTCAGTTGGTGCTTTGTTTGTTTAAGGCATTAAGTTACTTGATGAATTTAACTAATAAGTTGATATATTTAATAATAAACTTTGAATTAATTTTTTGCCTAACTGAATTACTTTAAGTCCAGCTCTCTCTCTCTCTCTCTCAGCTGTCTCTATCTGAAGGCAACTGTGGATTGCTGATTGATAGTAGAATTTTTTTCTTTTATTTTAAACAAATACTGGACACTTTCAAAGTTCAGACTAAGTTACAGATAAAAATACACATGGGTTATAAGCAGCAAATTTAAACACTGACTGGGACCCTCTTCCAATCGATTCTTCTTAAACCTCGTAAGAAGTAAGTTAAAAAAAAAAAAGATAAGAGTGCAAGTTTTTATTTGTCTTTCTTTCTTTCTTTTTTTTTAATGACATATTAGTGTCAAGAATTATTATGAATAAGTTCAACTATGATTTAGTTTTGTAATTTTTTTTTTTGAAAATTATTCAACACTTATCACTCAAACAATGCAAGGTATTTACAAGATTGCGGACATAAGCACATAATTTACCAAGAGAACGAGGGGTTATTAAGGGATTCCCAGAAAACTAAGAATTTGTACAAATAGTTCTTCTCACAAAGTTGGAGATGAAATTCATTTCTTCGAGTGTCCAAAATATAATTTACTTAGACATAACATGTATGACAGTATACAACAACATTGTTTAAAAAAAATAATAACTTCTTGATAATATGAACAAATTAATGTACAATGCACCGTCCCGTTGTATCTTTTGCAATTTAGTGGAATATATTTATTCAGTATATATGAAATGTGTATATATATGTCTGTGTATACATGTACATATATCTCTGGCTTTTTGCATTATGGTACACGGTGGTAGTTGTTTAAAACTTGATAATGTATATTTTAAAATTTTACATGTTAGCAATTATCTCAACTTATGAACCATGTGTAAATTGATTAAGTATATTAAAATACTGATGTACATGTATACTACTATCACATTTGTTAATAATTATTATACTTATATGTACTGTATAATAATCAAGTACGTTTTATGCTCAAAAGGGTCCTATTTGGAATAATGTAGCGGGAGGTAACTCTTTCACTTAACCCGACAGGTGCAATGCGTATCTAATGAAGCGAGTCGACTCTGGCATATCGGTAAACAGACGCATATGATCGGCGTTCGAATGTAGTGGCGGTTTTATCATACAGGGTCCTCATAACAAACCATGCCCAATCGCAGAGAAGAACACGGAATTCAAAAGCAGCAAACAGTGACATCGCGGTGCCTGGCCATTGTCTTGAAATTTGAAAATGGAGACAGGTGCGAGAGTGATGTGAAGGAAGAGGGTTTTAGTGGAAGAGATATTTTAGACGATTTTAAGCTGCGGAATAAGAGTTGTTATTGGAATCCAGCTTTGTTGGAAAGTATAAACAGTTTGGAATATTTGGGATTTGTGTCTCCCTGTACATTACTAGTGGGAGGATCAGAACTTCACCTGGAGAACATCAGAACAGCCTGGGGGAGGCGAGTTTTAAATGACCCCTCGGATTTTAGTATTCAAAGCATAGGTGAGTCAGGTATTTCAGCAGACGGCAAAGTATTACTGGCTGATTTGGACAGATGGGTGAAAGTGAAAAAGAATGAATTGTTTATACAGTTACAAAATTTTAATTGATTTTTAATTGACTGGTTAGATATTGATACGTTTGGGACAGATGTTGCGTTGAAATTTTATTGGTCTCTTTCAAAGATTGTTTATTTTAAAGTCTAGTCGATTGTCGTGCAAGAATTCAAACAGCTTAATCTGCATGACGAGAAACTTGTAATATTTCCCCGATGTATGGTAAGAAGACTTTCGAATTTTGCATTAGACTGGTCACTGTAAATTACATGAATGTAGCTTCCAGCAATTTTAACGGAATGATTTATTACGGTACATAAGAAGAAAGACTCGGAAATAGTAATTAACACCTGAGCTGTCAATTTTATGATTTCTCGGATAATCGGGTAAAGTTTCAAGTTTTACGGGGATTAAATGTTTAGAGACAATTGAGAAAGGAGATTAAATAGATTCGATAGATAAGATTGTGTCATGATAGTAGTGTCGGAGTTGGCCAGGATTTGGTGGGATATCCTTTGTGTAGACTTTTTGCTCGTCTTGATTTTCTTTACTGATAAAGGTGTTTGAAAGTAAAGGGATTAAGATAGAATCAAATTATAGGATCTTACACAGAGAATATCTGTAATAAGCTAGTAATACCTGTCAGATACTAATAAATTATTTTTATCAAAAAACAGTGAATAATATTAACATCATTAATGTTTTTTAGTATATATGATGAACCCTGGATTAAAAATTGGCTTATTACCATGATTACACAATTTAAATGGACTTTTGCAGAAAAAAGGGGTGTATTTATTGGGGGTATTAAATTGGGTTTCATTAAAAAGGATAATAGCATACCGTTATATCATTAAAAGTTAGGAAAAAATGCATTTAATTTAATAAACTTGGTCCAGTGATATACTATGTACCTGATGTACACTTAACATCTTTTAGGAAATTTTGTATAGAAATTAATTTTAAAAACTAGCATTAATTTTAACCAAATAATTTTTAAAATGGGGTCTATATTTATATATTACAAAGTTTTACCTTTTACCATGTTCACTGTCTACATACAGGATATTTTTATTTAAGGACAGAGGATACGTTCCTCAATAATATATAATTTTTTCTTAGATTTTGTCATTGAAATATTGCTATTTTAGCATGTTTACTCGCAAAAAATTGAGGTACCTTACCAGGCATTTGTGCAAGATACTGGAGGATGTTGTTTCCTATAAAATCCTCTTGGGATAAAACTTAATTTGCCAATATCACATTTTTTAGGGTTTCAATTTTTTAAAGACAATTTGAAACAAGTTTAGTAATCAGAAGGTAATTAAAATTTGGAATATTTTTCATACAATACAAAGATATACAAAACATATTTGAGAAACGTATCGTCTGACCTTAACTGTCTCAAACAAAGGTCAATTAAAGCATTTGATGAGACCAAGCCAATAAGGAGACTCCAAGCTTAATAGAATGATTAACAAGATCAATTAATTACAAGCCATACAGATAATGAGGAGACTGCTTTAGTAGAATACATGTCTAGTTTGACATGTTTGTTTATTGTAAACAAATAGTTGTGGGATATTGTGCAGAGATTTGTAATGATTATTAGTTTGACATAAAAACAAGTGTTACTATGCCAGGTGCCAGAAAATTCAACACCCCGGGCCCTGAACACTTTAACACCTCATAGTTTTCTCTGTTTATAAAGGAATTGTTGGAAAATTGCTGGTCATTTATGAAGAAGTCAAAAAACTGTTAACTGGAATTTAGGAAACAATAGAATAAGGGAATGTTCTTTCAGGGTAGGTAAATAACATATTAATTTATTTGTTTAATTTTGACAGTTTGTTTTATGTAGAATAGATTCCAATGCTACTTTTTTCATGATGTGAATGTAAACTGTTATAAACTATTTTAATTATATGTCAAACACCTTGAAGACATATCAATTAAAATTAAAAATGAAAGAATTCTTTGGAAATTGCTTTAAATACCTGTTACTTTTAAGTTAGGGATTAGTACTAATTGCACAAGAAACCTTCAGTAGCTGGCTTAGTCAGTGAAATAGAAATTGATTTTCAATAACAATTAGGGGTTTTGCATCCTATTGTGTATAAGACAGAGTGATAGCTGTTAGTGACCTTTGATTGGGCCCCATGCTGACCCTTAATGAAGAGGGCCCCTTGGCCCCCTGATGGGAGGGAGAAAAGGGAAGTGGTGGAGTGGTCAGTTTCCTCTTGTATTGTGACACATTTCTATTTTACATACATTTCTATTATTTGTGAGTTTTCCTCTGCATATGTTATAAGCAGCT